AAATAAAATGACACAAATCAGAGATAAAGGAGAAATTTGAATGAATGTGTATGGGAAAATGATCAGAAAATTAAAGCATTGTCTTCAAAGTTTCACTTATTCTGCTTTTGCCTTCAGAAATAATCGCCAAAATAATTTCTAATTAATTGCTTAGGGATCCCCAAATTTTGTCCTGGCTAAGAAAATTATTCTTTGAAGTGCCTGCCTAGCCAAATTCTTTGACAACAGGAAACCCCTAAAATCAGAGTACCTGGTATGTCAGTCAGATATGCAATGTGCTTGGTAACATCCCAGTTAGTGGATACCACTCTTCCTGGTCTGACTGAATCTACAGTGAAAAAGTAAATATTGATCTCAAGTAACTATCTTTATTTCTAATAATGTCCTGAACCTCTCACAGGTTCTCAGGGCCTTCTTAAAAAATACAAATGATAGGGAGTGGCAGCCCCCAGTGTTTTGTTTGAGGAAAACCAGAAAAGAGAAAAACTGAGAAGAACTTCCTGGAAATTGGGATGGGGGAAAGAGTGCTCAAGCAGAAAGGTTCAAAAGGCTAGTAGAATGAACAGACTTTTCCAAGACACAGGAAACATACACACACACAGACACACAAACTCTTGGGATCAGGATTGTATTAATGTAGTCATTTATATTTCATGTCTGCTTAAAGCCTCACCAGTTCCTTTTACAACCAGTTTTCCAATAAGGCTCTCTCCATTTTAATTAAGCTTACCTTTTGTTCCTTTGATGACCTTTGCTCTCTCAATCCAATCTTTTTTTTTCCCCCTAAGCCTAACCCTCTTCTGTGTTTCTCTTTTCGGTGTTTTCTTCAATAAAATAAACACTATTTTTGATGCCAGTTGCATCCGAGGTTTGTAGTTGGGTAATGTGGATCAGATGACCTACATTTTTACAAATTGGCTTCCAGTTACAACTCCTCAACTTACAACCACAATTGAGCCCAAGATTCTTTTGCTAAGCAAGAGTTATTAAATGAGGTTTGCCCCATTTGACGTCCTTTCTTACCACGGTTGTTAAGTGAATCGCTGCAGTTGTTAAGCTAGTAACAAAGTTGTTAAATGAATCTGGCTTTCCCATTGACTTTGCTTGACAGAAGGTTGCAAAAGGGAATCACATGACCCCAGGAGACTATAACCGTCATAAATATGAGTCAGTTGCCAAGCGTCTGAATTTTGATCATGTGACCATGGGGAAGCTGCAACGGTTGTTAAGTGAAAAACAGTCATAAGTCACTTTGTTCAGTGCTGTTGTAATTTTGAACAGTCACTAAACAAACTGTTGTAAGTCGAGGACTACCTGTAAGTCGAGGACTACCTGTTGTAAGTCGAGGACTACCTGTTTATGTAGCCACCGAACTCAGTGACTTCGGACAGCTTACAAAGATAAAAATCCAATATAAAAACAATAAAAAAGAAATAACCTTCCCATCCCACTTGAAATAACATTCAATCAAACATAAAGGGGAAGGCATTTTCCTCTGTTTGTCCTTTCCTCTAAATTTCTGGCTAAGGAGAAAAAATTGTGATGATGATATTAGACCTCTGCTGCATTGATCATGGAATCCACTGGTAGGACATGAAGTAAGGGAAATCCTCTCCCCATATTTTTAGAGGTTGTGTTCTTTACTGTTTTAGCCCCAGCCTAGTCATTCTTCATTTATCAACAAATCAATGTGTCCTTCCCACCCATAAAACACCTGCAGTATCTTAAAGACTGATAGATTTCTCATGAAAAAAGTTTGGCTTAAATCTTTCCTCAGCTGCACAGGTCTGCAAAACATTTTATTTTCTCCATTTTGGATTTTTTGAACGTTTGCCTTAGAACAGGGGTCTTCAAACTTGGCCCTTTTATGACTTGTGGACTTTAACTCCCAGAATTCCTCAGCCAGCGTGCCTGGCTGAGGAATTCTGGGAGTTGAAGTCCATAAGTCATAAAAGGGCCAAGTTTGAAGACCCCCCTGCCTTAGAACATCTTTGCTATCTGATTTTTTTAAAAAAATATTTTAAATATTTTACTAAATTTAAAACACCAATTTATTGATTTTAAAGCCTTAGTAGCATGTGGCTTTATAAATAAACTAAATAATATTGCAATAGATATGTTAAAAGCTATAGAAACCTAGGCTCGTTTTGCCAAATAGTCTAACAATCTCACATTCCTAGTTCGGCTGGCAGATAAATATGCAGACAGATTCTGCCAATTTTTATTAAACAATCACTCCGTTACATGAACGTTGCACAAATATATCAAACAGAATGCTTTCAAAGATATTTTGGTGATTACAGAATTTATTAGCAGGGGGAAACCAGCTGAAACAGAACACACGCCCACCAAATTGAATCCTTGATCCGGGTATAAAAACTCTCGTGAGAAAATGTGATATTTCCCTCGCCGCAATGATTGTTGGGAGTTGAAGTTAAAAAGGATTAGAGCTTGTGAGTGACCGGAAACAGGAAGTATGATCCAGACTGCTGTAGGTGGGACCAGCAGCTTCGTGCAGAAGTCCTTCCCTTCCTTGATACGGGACTTTAAAATGTCGGAGCAACGCGGGACTTGCTGAATACGTGGTAGGCATATGAATCTGGCTTATATTTAAGCTTTATAGTTTCTTATGCGGTAAACTGAACGTAGTCATTTAGAGTATTTTCAAGAAAACTATAGTTAAGAAAACCGTGAGTGTTCTTCAACCTTGGCAATTTTTAAGATTTGTGGACTTCGACTCCCAGAATTCCCCAGCCAGAAATCTGGGAATTGAAGTCCACGCATCTTAAATGCCAAGAATGAGAAATGCTGGTTTAGCGGAACACAAAATAAGAGACACGTGACAAGCACAGCGGAAGGCGGGTCCCAGAGGTTGCGTGGACCAGTGGTTGTTTACCATTAAAGAACAAAGAAAGCTGGATGAAAGTGGCTGCTTAAGAAATTAGTGATGCCCTGGCTTTTTATGCCAAAAATTTAAAATTGGTAGCGTTGATCTTCATTTTCCTAGAAATATTTTGTGATATTGAATTGCAAAAATAATTGCCAGCAGTGAATGGCTATATTGAAGGACGTGGCCTGACAAAGAGGTCCCTGCAAGGTGTGCTAAATGCAATGATGAGTGAAGTATAGTCTGAACTGGTATTGTCAGAACTTTGGTTTTGATTCTGACCAGGGCGTGATCATGTAATCTTCTCTCTGAGCAGGTTTGGCAGTCTGGTTCCCCTGGGAATTCTCTGTTTGCATTTGTCTCTGGATCTGTGGCCTATTGCTGAACATGTTTGGGGCAGAAATAGATTTCATGGGATGGAGGAGTTGAATCTATCGCATTTAAAGTGGTTTAAGTACACCGTTGCATGTGTGAAGATTCTTTTTTTTCAGTGATTGGTGGATGAACACTGAGTTATTCTTCCCGCTTTCTCTGGGAAGCAGAAATAGAAAAATTGCTACAATTTTTAGAATGGAGAGCACCATTTTCTTCCAGTTACAGGGTTGACAAGTGACGTGTCAAAGAAAAATCCTAGAGGAAGAATCAGATGGAATTAAAAATGCAAAGGAAGCCAGCTCTTTCTCACAGCAAAGCCATTTTCCCACCAGAGAAAGATGTGTATTTCTTCTCATTGTAGAAAAGGAGCATTAGGATAAATGCAAAGTTTAGATATGTCTTTCACAGGGAATGGCAAATAAACAGTTGAATCTTGAAATCCTAAGACCCAGTTAATTAAAACTTTGTAGCATAGGGCCTGGTTATTTGCAGCACAAGCTGTTTCTGATGACTTCTGTTCTCCAATAAGATCTGATAGGGCGGACATTCTCTTAGTCCCATCACTCAAGCAGATAATAGGACCCAAAAGATGAGCTTATCTGTCACCAGACCTGCCCTGTGGACCAGAGAGATTTGGATTGCCCTATTTAGAATCTCTTAAGACCTGTTTTTTTCCCTGGTACTGGGTGAACTAATTTGTATCCAACTTGATTATTCTTGGATTGCTTTTGGTAGTGTAAAGTTGCCTTAGGGGCAACATTTTATTATTTTTAATTTTTTTTGTGTGTACATCACCCCAAGTCACATGTCAGTTGAGTGGTTATATGAATCGATTTAATAAATACGTCTTTTTCTAAGTAAAAGAAATGGAAAATAATGCTACTTTAAAACTGTATATGTGGATAACAGATTGAGATTTTGTTCCAGTGTAAGTACAATTATGCTTGAGGATGTTGGAAGGGAAGACCATGCAGGTCCATTCCAACTCTGATTCTGTGATGTGATTATTTGGGCACTGTTTCCATTATGTTATAAACTTTTGCTGATGCTAGTTTGAAAAATCGTCTAACAATAAAAGCAGCATATTAGGAGGTGGTTGACTCACCTTCACTAGATGTAGAGGCAATGCTTTGATTTGGATTCTTGCACAGGTGATTGGACTGAAAGCCCAAATGGTCATGTCCAAGATTTATTCTCTAAAGATGGTAACAACTGGATTTTGTTTTCTACAGGTGATGGCTTACTGTTGACATAACCAGAGGCGGTAACAAGAATTTTCTGCTTGTACAAGATAATTCTGAAGAGAATTCTTCCTAGCAACACTCTATTCTATTTAAAAAGGACTCAAGTAGCAGAGGACACAGAGTTGCAAAATTTGCATACAAAGAACAACAGTTATATAAACACTGTAAGTCAGACATGTCAAACTCAAGGCCCAGATCCGGCCCGTGATGTGTTTAGATCTAGCCCACAAGCAAACTAGTAGGAGTGATTGAATAGTTACTTCCTCACTTCTTCAGGTGTGTTGTCAGTGGCAGCAGCACTAGCAGAGGACAGGCAGTGGAAGCCTCCAACACGTGGAGCTGTGCAGCAGCAGTAATCACAGGCAGGCATGGCTAAAGCGCCCTCTGCTTGAAAGCGAGTGGCTGGAGAGGGAAGGAAAGAAAAAGGACGGAAGGCGTTCGGATCGTGTGTTTCTTCAGTTCTCACCCCTCCCTGCCTCACCGCCTTTCCCTCCTCTTCTTCCTTCAAATTGCTGCTGCCCCTCTGGGCGAGAGATCTGCGGCTCAGTCTCTCTACTGTTCAGACTCTCTGGTCTTAGGTTATTGGGACCGTAAGAGTGCCGCGAAGAGCGCAACCCTCTTATACCCCAGAAGATCCGGACTCACGGCATCCTATTGAGCCTCCAGGGTGGATACCTAGAGCGCTCACAACTGCTCGCCTCACGCAGCACTTGGGACTTTGAGCTTTCTGTGCAGTCTCATACTCCATATATACAACATCTGCAGTGAAGAAGACCTGCGTGCCTATACTGATATTTAAACCCCCCAAAATGGCCAAACGGAAAGTGGACTTTGAAAACAGGTGCTTTCAAAAGAGGTGGGAAGCAGAGTACCTGTTTGTTAACATTGAAAATAAGGCCATGTGCCTTGTTTGCGGAGGTAATGTGGCCGTACTTAAAGAATATAACATGAGACGGCACTATGAGACGAAACATCAGGACAATTATAAAAACCTGAACATACAGCAGAAGCTAAAGGTGGTGGAAGAGTTTAAAGTGAGACTGATGTCACAGCAGCATATGTTCAGAAAATCACAAAGTGAAGCTGCTGCGAAAGCTAGTTTTATAGTGGCAGAAGAGATAGCTAAATCAGCCCGGCCATTTACAGAGGGGGAGTTTTTGAAGCACTGCATGATTAAAGTGTGCGAAGTCTTGTGTCCAGACCAAAAGCAAGCATTTTTGAATGTAAGCCTAAACAGAAATACTGTTGCTGATCGGATAGGTGAGCTTGCCACTGATTTACAAGCACAGTTGATGGAAAAGGGAAAAAGTTTCATTGCATATTCCCTTGCTGTGGCTGAGAGCACTGACATCACTGGCACGGCACAGCTGGCAATCTTCATCCGTGGAGTGGACTCAAGGTTATGCGTTACAGAGGAACTTTTGGATATTATATCAATGCATGGCACTAGCACAGGAAAAGACATATTTGAAGCAGTATCTAAATGTGTAAATGACATGAAACTGCCCTGGGACAAACTTATAGGACTGGCAACAGATGGAGCACCTTCAATGTGTGGGGAAAAGAGTGGATTAGTGGGAAGGATGCGAGAGAAGATGAAGAGCGAGAATTGCACAGGTGAGCTGACAGCTTATCACTGCATCATACACCTGGGAACACTGTGCGGCAAAACCCTGAAGATGGAACATGTAATGAGCACTGTAACACAGACAGTTAACTTTATAAGAGCCAAAGGCTTAAATCACTATCAATTCAAATCTTTTTTGGAGGAAATACATTCTGAACTTGGTGATCTTCCCTATCACACAGAGATGCAGTGGATAAATCAAGAAAAAATGCTCAGTAGATTTTTTGAGTTGCGTAAGGAAATCTGTCAGTTCATGGAAAGTAAAGGAAAAGGTTGTACAGCACTGTGGGATGAAAAGTGGCTATGCGAGTTAGCTTTTCTGTGCGACATAACCAAGCATCTCACTGCACTAAACCTTCAGCTTCAGGGACGGGACCGTGTGATCATGGACATGTATGGTGCAGTGAAAGCCTTTCAATTTAAGCTGCGACTGTGGGAGACTCAAATGCAGCATGGAAACTTGAGTCACTTTCCCTGTTGCCAAACAATCACAAGCCAGGTCTCCAGTGCTGTGTTCTTAGATGCTCATTTTGCTAATAAGCTGAATGCACTTCAAATGGAGTTTACACGTCGCTTTGTTGACTTTGAAGAACAGAAATTCAATTTTGGATTGCTCAGTAATCCATTTGCAGTTGAAGTGGCAAAAGCACCCATAAATATCCAGATGGAGCTGATAGAACTTCAGTGTAGCAGCACATTTAAAGCAAAGTATGATTCTGTAGGGCCCGCACGGTTCACCAGGTTCATTCCTGAAACGATGCCCCAACTTCACCTACAAGCTGCTCGAATGCTCTGCATGTTTGGGAGTACATACCTGTGTGAGCACCTTTTCTCTGTGATGAAGGTGAACCAAAGCGTACACAGAAGTGTTCTCACTGATGCACAGCTCCACTCTATCCTGAGAGTTTCCACAGCTCAGAATTTAACCTCAAATCTGAATGAACTTGCAGGCAAGACAAGATGCCAAACATCCGGCTCAAATGACCCAGGATTTAACAATTCAAACATCCCGTTGAGTTCCTAAAGTGGTATGTTGGATTTGGATTTGTAATCTTGTTTATGTTTATTTACTAAACTTATCTTTCATTTAATCAAAAGAGAAGCTTATCATCTTGTGCTTGTTCCAGAAGAATTAGAAGAACCCAATCCCTGGGATGATCTAGGCTTGTTCTTCCCGTAGAGCCTCTTAAAATAAAAACTGGTTGAAGCAACATAAAAGCATTTGTAATAAAATGTCAATGTTTATCATGATGTTTAAATACAATCTCTGTTAAACAGTTTCTTGTACGTCTATTTTGAGGAATGTTATCATTTGACTTACATGGCTTGCAGCTGTGATTTTGGGTGGCTAACATTAAAACAATGCACAAAACAATTATCAAGAAAATATGAAGAACCTAGAGTGGTTGCTAAAAACCCAGTAAACTCTGAACAATACAATCTCATCTCCTTTCATAGGCTACCCTTTCCAACCCCAATATTCTGGAGAACATCCAGGTCTCAGTGCTTTCCAAAAGACCAGCAGCATCAGGGCTAATATAATATATTGAGGAATATGGTTTTCCAGAGGGCAGGTGCTATGGCAGAAAAGGCACTCTTCCTAGGTCGCAGTGGACGTAGGCCCACTTCTTCAATTTAGAGGACCCCGAGTGTGCTCCTTCAGTTGGACCTGGTGGGATGGACGGAAACAAGGAAGACCAGGTCTTGTAAATAACCCAGCCCCTTGCTGTGAACGCTTTATAGATGACAACTGCTACCTTGCTGCTGCCAAAACATGTTTAAAGATTAGCTGCTCAGGTTGCTCTCGGAAGCTTTTTTATCTTTTTATGATCACTTACAGCAGCGTGCAGCTGAAAGTTATCAACATACAATTTATTACGGAGGCCACACTGGTTCATGTGATTAGAAGGCTGAGTCAGAAGACCGTTGAGAGGTCGATGGCTCAGCAGTTCAACACCCAAGAGCCAGCTGCCTGATGGAATGAGCTCCCGTCAATTTGTCCCTAGCAGTTCAAAAGCAGACAAATACAAGTAGATAAATAGGTACCACTTTGGTGGGAAAATACCGGGGACACGAAAGGAGCCTCCTTGGCCGCCCCCATGGGCAACGGTGATGTCACTGGCTAATCCTTTCAACCTAGAAGTGCCTTGATTCAAATGTAGTAATAATTTATGATGTAATAAAAGTCATTATTAAATGCATGACTTTATGCTTACATGTAAAGTAAAGCTATTTTTTTTTCTAGACCCCGTTTGCAATTTGGTCTGCAGCTCTGAGCTGGCCAGCCAATGTTTCTATGAAAAGTTATTTACCCCTAGAAACGTGCCTCAAGTCGTACGGATAAGAAGCAGGTTGGGCCTTTTTCTATCTAATAATCTTTCTCAGCTAATCTGTTTTCACTTAATAGATATTAGGGGGGAAACCAATTAGGTGAGATAGCTCAAAGACAACAGTTGACAGTAAGTATAACCTGTAACCACATGCTTAAAAGCTAACCCCCCCTCTATTACCAAAAAACTATGCTTAGTATAATCAGAAAAAAAGCACCCGATTCTGCAATGTAGCGTTCCAGTTTTTATATAAAGATCAAAGGATGGACCTCTCAGTTTTCAGGTGTGTATAGTTTGACAAGGTGCTGGAGTTCAGTGGCATAGCCAGTGATGGGGCACCGCTGCTGATGCTTCACATAAGAGTAGACACAGCGATAGCAGAAAACAAAGCCAGAAGTGGAGAGGGCTGTATCGTTGACACGAATTTTACGACACAATGGACACATTGTCTTGAGCTTTGGCAAAAGAGGTGAGTCAGTCTCATAGTCCAGGTGCACAGGTGGTGGTGGGACTGGCATAGCAGTCAGTGATTTGATGTTCTCCTGATTCTCAGCTGAATACCACCACTCCAAAAACTGGAGGAAGAAGATGCCCACAGAGAGGCCAGTGGACAGGGAGAAAGCCAGGGCCCCTAGGATTTTTTTCCCAGCGGACTTCATTTGCTCTTTCATGCTGCAGAAAGGGGCAAGATATAAAAAAAAGAAATTAACCGAATTCATGCTATTATTAAGAAACGTGGAAAACACTAAGATGCAAATCCAGGGTTACAGTAAAAAGGCAATCTGAATTCTCTAAGAGAAAAAAGCCATAAATGCCTGAGATACAACTATGATTAGCTATTCATCCAAATACCTGGTTTCCGGCATTTAACAACTAGAGATATAACACACACACCCAAATTTTTGTAAGATTAGTTTGAGGGGAAAAAACAAAGTATAAAAAAGTTGTAAGCAGAAAATTGGCACTCCCACTCAATAGATGGCTCTCAAATTACTGTTAGAGAAACTGATCCTCAAAAATAGGAAAAATCTTAGCCATAACTTTATTCTCCAGGTGTACTTGCTAAATGAGTTATATGTAATCCTTGATTTATAGCCATTCATTTAGCAACTGTTCAAAGTTACAACAGCACTGAAAAATATGAATGACCAGTCCTTATGCTTATGACTAATACAGCATCCAGAGTCACATGATCAAAATTTGGGCACTTGGCAACCGGCAGGTATTTACAATGGTTGCCGTTTCCAAGGGTCATGTGATCGCCAGGAAGCAAAGTTAATGGGTAAAACTGGATTTGCTTAACAACCACATGATTCACTCAACAACTGCAGTGATTTGCTTAACAACCATGGCAAAAAAGATAATATCAGGTGTGACTCACTTAAAACCACCTTGCTTAGCGATGAAAATTTTGGTCCCAATGATGGTTGTAAATCAAAGACTGCCTGCATAAAAGATTTTAGAGAGTCTTGACCTATTTCAATCTTTCTGGTGCTTGTTGGAAGATGCTTTTCTTTCTTAATTTTTCCCAGGTGTAGTAATCATAAGATCTTTTTCTTAAATTTTCATCTTTATGGTCTACACTTTTTTTATCATTAACTGCCTGGCGAGTATTAGTTTTTAGATGATATACAAACATTGTAAATATTTAAATATACCCAACCATTGAAGGAAGGAAGCAAAAACAGCAAGGAGTGGCTGTTTTAGGGTTTTCATTTCTATTCACCTGTTTGATGACTGTAGAACATCACCAGCAGCTATATGTACATTTTCCAAAGCCCGCAAATCATCTGCTGTCAGCCTGACTAAATACACACCAGCCAGTTTCAGCAGTGGGGAGTGGTGTTGAGCCTTTCCCAGAATGTAACATAGTTGCTGCACCAGAAACCAGCCCTCCCAAGCCATGTTCACAAAGGGGTAGGCAGCCAGGAAGGCCTTATAAAATCGTTTCCAGCAGGATGATGGAGGATGGATAGAATAATCATCCTCTTCCTGGAGACGGGAGATCAACTTTTCCAGTTTAGTTCTCAGGTATGGAACAAGGACCAACAAGCAGAGAGATTTCCAATGATGCTTTTGGGATAGTCCAGCAGTGGCCAAAGATCTCTGCTGATTCCTTTTGCTTTTCAGTGCAACTCTCTTCAAGCCATAGAAATTTTCAGAAAAAGAAGCACTGCATCGGAAGAGGTAATGCTGCTGGAGTAGAAGATCCAGGATGGTGTAGATTTCGTCAAACCAGCGCCATAGGAAACCATAATATGAAGGATTGGATTCAGCCAATACCTAGTACAAAAGACAATCAAGGACAAGAGTAATAAACCTGAATGTGCCGAGGCATTTTTATTGATGTTTGAAACATTTTGTTTGGGCTACTTTGTGGATTTTTTGCTTTGAGATTGTTCCAAAATAACACAGCCTTTTTCAAGATGAGGGCTATGTGGCCTTAGAAGTTGTGTTCCATTACTGGATGAGGACCAGGATCTAAAAACACGATATAGCTAGCACACACACAAACACAAAAACAGATTTAAAATACAGTAATAACGTAATACTATTACAATATTTCATAATTTACTCTTCTCTCAAATTCAAAATTTCATAATCTTTGGAAAGTTTTATGGCCATATTTATAAATTGGAATCCACATTGATAATGTGTAAACTGAATTTGCTTTGTTAATTATTTTCAGCAGAAAAATGAAAAAAATTCTAAGCCACAAATTTTAATTTACAGATTATATAATCTAGACTTCCATTTTAAGCTTAGTGGAAACTCACTGATCCAATTATCCTGGTTTAACTGCAAGCTTTGAGACAGGATTTTCTTTCTGTATTTGATACCTGAAATAAATCTTCTAACTGTAAAAAAGATGGGACATCACAAATGCATGCAGTTTTTTTCCGGTCCTTCCATACTTTCATATTTTTTCTTCATTATTCTGACCATTATTCAACCTTAGATAAGCACAGAAAACTAATGGTTATCCTTCCCTCAATACTCACCAACCATTCTTCTCACCTTGATCACATGCTGAAATGCTGGTCTCACAGCAGTCATCAAACTGTCTTGGGCAACAACTTCAAATATAGAAGGCCTGTCCACATATGGGTAGATGGCAGTGAAATGAGCTCCATGTTCTGCCATGGTCTCTTCTGGAATAAAAACAAACAAACTTTCCAAAATAATTCAAAACAGAATTAGGTTTTAGAAGACATTATTACAAAAGCCCTCAAACTTTCTGTCTAGAATGATATATGGATATATTTAAATTATTGATCTTTTCATTTCTAATTTGATTGAAAAATGGCAAGTTATTTAATACAGTAAGCTATTTCCCTCAAGGACGATGAAGATGTATATAAGATCGGCATGGCTCTTCGTAGTTGCTGGATGCACCAAGCCACATATCATATACAGTTTAGCCTAATATGCTGTGTGAACACAAACCCCATGATTAGCACATAGTCTACCTTGCCATGCAAACGAGGTGACATCGAGTCAACCAAGTTTAACCATGAGTACTTTGCACAAATGTACCTTATATCTATAATTTTCTTCAGATTTTTTCTCTCTGTCTTTTTAATATATAATTTAAGGTGGCAAACATATTTAATACTTCTGCCTCCTATTTTCCCCACAACAGTTGTGTGAAGTAGGTTGGGCTGAGGCAGAATGAATGGCCCAAAGTTGCCCAGCCATCTTTTATGCCTTAGGGAGGCCTAGAGCTCCCAGTCTCCTGGTTTCTAGCTTCTTTGAAACTTAACCATTCCACCAAATGGAATTTTACTCCAAATCTTGCCTGCTGCTTCATACGTTTTCCTCACCAACAGCCTTGCTCCATCCTGTCAGTCCCCCACCCAAGCCTTTCTCTCCAGGAAAAGAGCCTGCAAGAAATCTGAGGGAATTCAAGGCCGCTGCATCTCTCTGAAAGGTATAGATCCACGTGTCGCAGGTATGGTCAGAAAGAAAGCTGGATTCAAATCCTTGCTGAAATACAGGTAGTCCTCCACTTATGGCCACAACTGGGCCCCAAATTTAGGTTGTTAAGTGAGAAATTTGTTAAATGAGTTTTGCTCATTTCACACCTTTTCCTGCCACATTTGTTAACTGAATCACTGCAGTTGTTACATTAGTAACACGGTGGTTAAGTGAATCTGGTTCCCCCATTGACTTTGCTTGTCAGAAGGTCACAAAAGGTGACCACATGACCCCGGGACACTGCAACTGTCATGTGAGTCCGTTGTCAAGCATCCGAATGTAAATCACGTGACCAAGGGGATGCTTCAATGATGATAAGTGTGGAAAATGGTCATAGGTCACTTTTTTTCAGTGCTGTTGCAACTCTGAAGAGTCACTAAACGAGCTGTTGTAAATCGAGGACTACCGGTAAACAAATTAACTTGGGGAACTAGGCGAGGGTGATGCAAAACCCGAGGACGCTGCAATCAAACGGCACCAACTCTTAAGACCAAATGGATCCACAAGAGAAGCTGCCTGATGCCATGAATGGGTCTGACCATTAAATTGCTTTGTGGTCATGCCAAGGGCTAGACCCCACATTCTGGCAGGAAAAAGCAGGCGGGAAAATTACAAGGATGCTCTTGCACTTCTGCGCCCTATGGGCTGGAGAGGGACAGGTCAGGATTTCCCCCACCTCAACCGCCCTCCGTGTACGGCCGCCTCCCCGGTGGTGCTGCTACCGCTCGCCGTTCAGCGCTGCAGACATTCAGGCCGCGCTAGGCTAGACTTTCCTTTAGTTTGTTTCTACCGTACCATAGAGTTACAGGAGGGCAAACAGGCGTAGTTCTGTTGGGAGGTCTCTCCCATGGGAGAACAGTCGCTCTTGATGTTGAAAAAAATGCCCCAGGCAGCCCTCTCTACGCTCAAAACTTCGGTCTGGACAGCTAAAAATGAAAAGTAGTTTACAAGCCAGTCGCATCTAACCTTATGGAGCGACGTTCCTCTGTTACAGGAATAGGAGTGTTTTTACCGGAAGAAAATGGGTGTGCCCATCTAGGCCACTGAAACTCTGTGGCTGCAGACGATCTAAGCAGGAAGGCGTGGCGCATATCGTTGGTTGGTCTTCCCAGACAGCCCGGTTTCCGGTCTCCTCCCAAGCGAGGCAGTTTTACGGTTGCTTCTGGCTGTTACTGCTCCATCCTCTTCCTCCTCCTCCGTTGTCGTCCTTTCTTCAGTATCAAGTCTTTTCGAAGACTCCCCTCTTCGTGGTAGGTTAGTTGGGGTTAGGCTGTGGTTCCGCCCATTGAGGAATTGGCGGGGTGGGGGGAGGATGAATTGCTCCTCCCTTGGGTAGGGCAAGGGCTTGGTATGAGGGCGGGGGTCGGGTTTTTCCCCCTGGCATTCCAGTGGGGGTACCTTGGTGGGTAGGTGGGAAAAGGTGAATAGCATAATTTTCCCCCAGTCAGAATGGCTCCCTTCCCGGGTGGAGCTTACAGGTTCCTGTTCTCAGGAAGAAAAGTGTGACATCGTTGCTTGGGGAGGGAAGTAGAAAGGTGATGGGGGGTGGGAAATAATTATCTATCTTGGGGAGATAGTCATAGTTGCCCCTCGCCTAATCTGCAGGCCTTAATAGCTCCTATTTTATAAGCAAAAATCTAAAGACCACAACGTAGGGTTGCCAGGTGTCCACTATTTGAGTGGACAGTCCACTTTTTTCACATTATGTTCACTATTTTTTTTCACAAAATAGTGGACATTTTTTTTATTCAAAAGCTTTATGATGAAATGGTACGTAATCTAAAGCTGTACAGTCTACTTTTTTTTACTACTTAACCCACCCCCCAGCTTGTCCGCTATTTTTTGGAAGCAGACCTGGCAACCCTAACCACAAGGTGGGCAAGTCCCCTGCCATCGAGGAATTTACAGTTTGCAATGGAAGCGTTGGGGAAAATGAGGAAAGTGAGCAAAAATACTGGAGGAGAAAGTTTTGGACTGGTTAGATGACAGGTATGGGGAGGGAGAGAGAGAGGCTGGAGTTCTTTCTATAAATATCTTTTAAGAATTTGGGGTCAGGTGGAGGAGTAGGAGGGAATTTTAGGAACAGGAAGGGGTTGTGGGGTGAGAGTGTGCAAAAATCACACTTTTACAAGATATTTCTCTGGTTGGGGAGGGAGGAGAAAGTCTCTGTTAGAAAACATAGATGGGAGTAGCTGGAAAAAGGAATTTGCTGTCCTTGGGATGGAGATCTTGAGGTTCTGTGCAAAAAAAGTTAAGAGTTGTCTTCACAGTGAGCCAGTTTAATAGGGTGGATATAGTCAGTCACCACTTATAAAGTAAACCAGTAATAGAACAAAATGAACATTTTGTATTTATTAGAGTTACAATTCATACAGGAGTTTGAGGCAGGTATATAGTACCCCCTCCCCCTATTTTTCCCTAGAATAAGAGACCTGTGAGGCAGGTTGGACGGAGAGAGTGTAACTATCCCCAAGGTGTTGAGAATGTTTTACATTGGCTGTCTATGTAAAGTGATATCTTATTAAAGAATTTGATAGAGCAGAGCTGGCAGGCGTTATTGTTGCAGATGAAAAATGGTATCAAGCCAGGATCTCAGATATCTGGTGGAATTTCCTAGTAGTTCATGGTTCAAGTAAAATGAGTAAGATTTCTTGTTGTAACTATAGGTCATAACATTGTAACATGGAATAAAATACAATATAATAAAATAAAGAATGTTAGATACAAAGAGGCCAAAACAAGATACAACCAGGGTTGTGATTAAGAACTTGAATTTAAATGACAACAGAGCAAAAGTAGCAATCTGGCTACTAAAGTTAAACATATCTGCAATTTAGCCATTTGAGTCCAGGCTCTTCAATTCGTTTACCATTAATAATGTTGTCAAAATTTCATTGTAAATGGGGCAATGGAAGACAAAGTAAAATAATACCCTTCACTTAGGCACCAAGGGGACAGAGTCACTGTTCAACAAAGTGTTTACAAAATCTCTCCTCAAGATATCTGAAGGCATAGTCTGGTACTAGGTACCAGGTACTAGGAGAGGCTTCTGTGTTTTTATAGTGATTAAAATCTGTGCTGTAGTAGCATGTTTATTTATTATATTTTTATCCTGCTTTTATTGCTTTATAAGTAACTGAATGTGGCAGAACTAAAGGTCATTTTATAAGTAAATAAAGGTGGCATACATATATGTCTAATACTCCTTCCCCCCTCCTCTTTTCCCCACAAAACAACCCTGTGAGGTGAGTTGGGCTGAGAGAGAGTGACTGGCCCAAAGTCACCCAACTGACTTTCATGCATAAGGTGGGACTAGAACTCACACAGTCTCTGGTTTCTAGGCCAGCACCCTACACCAAACATTTTAAAAAATCTAATATTTTCTGTTTTCTAAGAGTTGAATTAGGATCGGTGACAAAAGTGCAGTCCATTGATAGAGAAAGCAAAGTTTGGCAAGGTAGATTGTTGAAGACTTTCTGGTTTCTTATAGTGCCCAGCAATGCATGATGCATTCTGACAGCAAAGGAAACATCCATTCTAGATTAGCTATGGAGGTGAGTTGGGGAGCCCCAAGATATTCCTTATTAAGATGTTTTAGCCTGCCTCCAGTTGAAAAATAATCTCCTTACCCCATCTCCAGATTTCAGCCCCATGCAGCATCTGTGCTATCAGCATGCCCTGGAATATTTTAAATTCAAGATAGGAAATGTTTCTGATCTAAACAGGCAAAGAGGAGCCTTGTGTTAGTCTTGGTTCACACAACACACTAAATTGAAATCTGGTTAGCCACATTTTTCCTACTGTGTATGAACTAATCTATCTGGTTAGTTTGTTTCTTGTGGAATTCCAATCCTGAAAATTGAGGGCTCCCCCCCCCCAAAAAAATCATAGTTAGTTAACCATGAGTTACAGCACTCTGGTCACAGTCAGATTGCGCAGAAGAGAAGAATGTACTAAAAGCTTGGTGGAGGCATTTGGTTCTTTGCAGAGAGAGTATTGAAGGACGTGGCCTGACAAAGAGGTCCCTGCAAGATGTGCTAAATGCAATGATGAGTGAAGTATAGTCTGAACTGGTATTGTCAGAACTTTGGTTTTGATTCTGACCAGGGCGTGATCACGTAATCTTCTCTCTGAGCAGGTTTTGGCAGTCTGGTTCCCCTGGGAATTCTCTGTTTGCATTTGTCTCTGGATCTGCGGCCTATTGCTGAACATGTTTGGGGCAGAAATAGATTTCATGGGATGGAGGAGTTGAATCTATCGCATTTAAAGTGGTTTAAGTAGACCGTTGCATGTGTGAAGATTCTTTTTTTTTCAGTGATTAGTGGATGAAAACTGAGTTATTCTTCCCACTTTCTCTGGGAAGCAGAAATAGAAAAATTGCTACAATTTTTAGAATGGAGAGCACCACTTACTTCCAATTGCAGGGTTGACAAGTGACATGTTAAAGAAAAATCCTAGAGGAAGAATCAGATGGAATTAAAAATGCAAAGGAAGCCAGCTCTTTCTCACAGCAAAGCCATTTTCCCACCAGAGAAATATGTGTATTTCTTCTCATTGTAGAAAAGGAGCATTAGGATAAATGCAAAATTTAGACATTTTTTTTCCTCTAGAAAAAATGATATGTCTTTCACAGGGAATAATAAACAGTTGAATCTTGAAAACCTAAGACCCAGTTAATTAAAACTTTGTAGCATAGGGCCTGGTTATTTGCAGCACAAGCTGTTTTTGATAACTTCTGTTCTCCAATACGATCTGATAGGGTGGACATTCTCTTAGTCTCATCACTCAAGCAGATGATAGGACCCAGACCTGCCCTATGGACCAGAGAGATTTGGATCACCCTATTTAGAAGTCTCTTAAGACCTGTTTTTTCCCCTGTTACCGAGTGAACTAATTTGTATCCAACTTGATTATTCTTGGACTGTTTTTGGTAGTGTAAAGTTGCCCTGGGTGCAACATTATATGATTTTTAATATTTTTGTGTGTGTACACCACCCCAAATCACACGTCAATTAAGTGGTTATATGAATTAATTTAATAAATACATCTTTTTCAAAGTAAAAGAAATAGAAAATAATGCTACTTTAAAACAAGACCTGTATAAAACTGGATATGTGGATAACAGATTGAGATTTTGTTCCAATGTAAGTACAATTATGCTTGAGGATGCTGGAAGGGAAGACAATACCATTTTGGCTCCCAGCACTAAGGTTAGCCATAGAGATAGTTTTTGATTCCTGTAAGCCAGTATCAAATTTAATTCCTATGAACTGAATAGGATAGGTTTGCCCTTCCTTTAATCTGATAGAGTTTAATATGTTCTCCCCTCCACCACTCAGGCACAAATATGTTTCTGCCCTGTCATTAAGTAGGGGTTAATTCTCTGCCACAATATGAGGGTGGTCTGCTCTGCCAGTTTCCTGTGCAAAGAAAGACACATTGCTTTGAAATGCTGGCTCTTGCTGGCACCCATGAAGTACTCTTAAAGCTGTTAGGGAGAGATGGTTCTCAGATTGGAAACAATATAGTTTGTGTCTTCTTCCCTCTGAGGTTGTGTAGTGGCGGGGGGGGGGAGGCAGGGGCTGCTGTGATGAAACAGCCTTCAGTCACGAGTGCTGCTTAGCTGAAAGAAGCATCTTCTGTGTGTTCATTTATTCCTTCCTGGCTTCTTGAATTAGATCGAGGATGGGTGGTCTTTAGCTTTAGAGGAAAAACTCTTTTTATGATTGTCATTATTTATTGATTGGATTTCAAAGCTTTCTGACTCCAAAAAAGATGCTTACCATATTTTAAAGAATACATAATTTAAAAGAAATAGGATACCCAGATAAAATTACATAAACAAAATTCAGGGAAATAAATTGACAGGGCTTCCACGAACATTCTGACCTCAGGATGTTCCAGAGAGCAGGGATCGAACAGAGATGGCATGTTTCCTCGGTCCCGTTAGATGACAGTGTTTAATTGAAGGGATCCACTTTGCTCGATCATACCAGATTGGCAGAAATAATTGGAGAAAGGCGGTCCCTTAAATAACCAGTCCCTATTCCATAAAGGGCTTTATTGGTGACCAGTGCAGCTCATAAAGCAGCAATAACACATGGGCAAAAGGTACTATATCCTACATATGTATTCCCTTTGGAGGAGCTATTCTGTTGGAACAGACAAAACATTGATACGTTGCACTTTTTCATTCAAAACTGATGGGGGTCTTCCTAAACTTGCAGCTACTATACTGTGCCTAGAACAGGTGGTAGTTATAACCGAGAGGGCCTTTTCACAGAGTCACCTTGTGCTCCAGTTGCACCCTTTCCTTGACAACTCAGAGGCCACCCATGCTTTAGTCACTTCACAATTGAATATTGGGCTATTGTTGAAGACCATCCAGGAGCTACAGCTGGTTCAAAATGCAGTGATGCTCACTTGGTCCTGCCCAGAAAAAGTGCAAATCCAAGAAATTTTTATCCACCAGATAGCATGAATACCCTTTGCTATGGTCCTGGAGATGTTCCAAGCCTTTCTTGCTTGAGGTATTCTTTGTCTTCTTGCACTTCATCTCTCGGAGCGACTCAGAGAATTGAGATGCACTTCAGAATCAGTGCACAGAGAGGCTTCATAGGAATAATCCAGGCAAAAGCCTCAGTTAACTGCCAATTCCAGGTTGCAACCAAGGCCTCAGATGTGCTACCCAGCCGATTCTCGGGGAAAACCCCAAGCTTCTTCCAGAAATCAACTGGGTCCATCAGTTGCCTGGGGTTGGCTGATCAAACAGGCCAATCTGCCTGCAGGGATGAGTGGCACTAGCAAGCTAGAGGCCAACTAGAGTGTGATTTCACATGGCAACTGACTGATGATAATAGCGTCCAACAACAGATCATATGACAACTGACCAGAGACAAAAACTGAATCTAGTATGTGACTCTTTGTATGTATTGGCACCTCAATTACTTGAGACAGGTTTGACTTTATCAGCATCTGTACTTAAAGAAGTGAAATGTATTTTTATATATAATTCTGAGCATAAAAACTGCTTCATATCTTTAGAGACTAATTTTTCTCTTTTTACATTGTTTTTCCTGGTACATACTGATATTAATAATTACCTAATATTATAGATAAAATGTAGCAGGACACTGAAGACCTTTTATTGCCATAAAAATTATCATCTCTCAATTTGTAACATTTGACCATCAGATTTTAGGAAGGGTCATTAGTTTAACTCAGCGTGAAGCTTTACAATAAAAACTATAAAGTTAATTATTCGTATTATTTGATCTGTTAATTTTCTTTGGCATGATTGTCATATAGAAGGTTATTTTAAAAAGTTGGGTTTTTAAATATATTGTATTTACTATTCTGTGGTACATTGGAACTAATAGATTTACAGTTTCAAGCAGAAAACAAAACTCTGTTTTGAAGCAGTCACAAATGCATTTGCTATGAAAAGAGGTGCAGATTTCTTAAACTGAGTGGTTTTTTTCCCCCCTAGGTGCAATAGGAATCCGAAATCATGACAGACTCTAAATACTTCACCACCAATAAAAAAGGTTAGAGTTCATCTGCAATGTGATGTTGCCTTTTAACTCTCTACAGTGGATACAGTCTGCCTCCCAGTACCTCTTGCTGGGATACATGAGGGGGCAAGCTGATATGAGAATTAAGATAAAAGCATTCTTAATCTCTACTGTAGATCAAATGGATGAAGAGACTGGGTTGGTTCACACATGTTACTAAGCCTTTTTTTAAATGGCTTTATTAATAAGATGTGATGGCATAGTTCATCTAACAGTCTAGCCAAGCCAATCAAATTAAGCTTAGCCATGAGGATTTCTTGAAAGAAGGGTAGTTGGTTTTTAATCAGTTGAAATACAATGAAAAGTTATTTCCACAATTTCAGCTATTTCCCACACTCATAGTTTTTGAGCTACTAACCTCAATGCAACCTCAAGAACAGTGGAAAGAAAATTAATCTGGCATAGACTGTAACCGGAAGAAACAATACTACATGGATCTTAGATCTTCCAGCCAGACTCTTTGATGTGTCGGCAGTAACACAATCAAGCTATGCTTTTATTGAACCAAATATTTTGGAATAAGGATTGGTTGAGTTCATACAACATGTTGACATATAATTTACAAATCATGGCAACTGGACTCTTAAAATATGCAAAGTCAACATCAAAGCCATTTACATATAAGATTTATATGGCTGCCTATCTAAAACACAGGATTGGGCAGCTCACAACAACAGTAAAATCCCATAACCGTAAAACCATAGAACCAAAGCCCATCCATCAGTTGAAATGGAGATACAAAATAGGTTTAATCCTATTGTATGTGGTTGGGCTGGGATTTTTCTTTTCTCACTTTTTATTTTTGCGGGCTGGTTGGGGTTTTCTTTTAAAAAATAAGTCTGAATTTAAGTTTTTCAACTTCAAAGTAATGGGAAAAGGCTCTGCTGAATTTTCTTGTTACAAAAAAAAGGGCAGATTTTTGATGCCCGCTACATATGGAGCTCTTCTGGCAATTAATATGGTAGGCTGTGTATTATCTTTAAGGGACTTTTTGACTTAACTGAGGTTGGGATTACATCTTGCCCCTCAGCAAGTAGATCTCCTGCTGAGGTTCTGAGATTGGATAAGACCATTTATACACCTGCTGTTCTGATCATCCTTGATTATCAAAGGTTTGCAGACCCTGCCTATTCTTGCATTGCCACTTCTCTTTCTCCCCCCCTCTTAAGTAATGAGATTCTTGGCTTCCAGCTGAACTATTGATCTTCATAGCTGCCAACTCCTGGGAGCCATGCAATCATTAAATAAGCGAATGATTCCTCCCTTTCCCCCACCCTCTTCTGCTCTCCTGATTTGCAGGGCCATTACTAATTCTGCCCTTTTGCTTAAAAGGGTGTCTAATTTCATAATTTATAAATGCTACAATAATTCAACAATGCCCGTTGTAATAAAGTATCCTCCAAAAATATGTGCAGAAATCATCCTTGCTTTCACCTTCAGTGACATTAAGATATGTGGATTTTAGCTCCCAGATTTCAGGAATTGAAATCCACACACCTTACGTCCCTAAATTGAGAAACACTGCATGCTTCAGTCCAGTTTGTGTGTGTTTACATTCAAATCAGTTGGTCTCTACAGTTTTTGAGAAGTGAGATAATATGAGATACTTGTGTAGGTTACCAATATGTCAGAAGCTCCTTTGACATTCGTGTTTTCTCCTCTCCGGTTCAAACTGAATACAGGTTTGTGGCAAAGATGTGTGAAATTAATCAAATCAGAAAATAAATGTTGTGTTCCCAAATCAGACTATTGCAGACAGTCAAAACACTACAGATGGCCTCCGAACCACTCCTGGAACAGCCTGTTCTGTGAAAAAGGATTTGCTCCCCTTTCAGATATTCTGAATTTTGGCTTATCTTTGCTCTCAAACGGTATCAGAAGTTTGCGTAGCACCCACTGAGTTCTGATAGCATGCAGTGGCAAAGATATTTTTAAAATGAGCAAATACTTAAGTGCAAAATTGTAGGTGCTGTCTCTAGGTTGCCAAAGCAATGATACTTAAAAACCCTTGATGTCTTTAACCCTGCTGCTATTTTTCAAGTTGTGCCATTTTTTGGCATTGTCTTTTTCACCGTCCTATATACTTAAAATGTGAGAGCATTTAGTGAGAACTCTCACAAACAATTGCTGCCATGGGGGACCTGTATGTTCACAGAATGACTGACTGGCAAATGTGCCTAATTGCGGAGCCATTTACCCAAAGAGACACTGGAATGATTGCACCAAGCAGCTTCTGAAAGAAACTGGGCCCTGTGCTTCTTGGGCTTTTCCCCCACCCTCTGTTCCTGGCAAGGAGGAATTCATTCTTTTAACAGCAGTTAACTTGTTGTTAACCTGTAACCATAAGGCTGAAGAGAAAGGGCTCCTTCACACTATGCAATTAGCGTGTGAAGGTCATTCTTGCAGCCTATGGTTAAGGTAACTTAGTTCACTTTAAAAGCAATGCATTTGCTATAGAGGTAGTCCTTCTGTAGTGATTGATTCATTTAGTGACTTTACATTTATAACGGTGATGAAAAATAACTTCATGACTAATCCTTCCATTTACAATCCTTGCAAGGCTGTAAAGCACAGGCAAACTGAAGGAAAAGCATTAAAATCTTGATGTTTTCATTTGGCGACAACAACCAACCGGTCGATTCAAGTTGTGGTTGCTGAATAGGAACTGCCTGTATCTGTCATAATAATTAAATATTTGGGTCTCAGCAGGTTCTGGGGACCACATCAGACAGAGCTCCAGATTCTAAGGGCAAGGTTTTCCTGGATGCCTCTGTTATCCACTGATGAAAACAGAATTCTTAGTTGGAGGGGGTGGATTAAATTGCTCTTGCTGAACTTTTTTTGACTGTGGTCCTCGTATGTTTGTCTGCAGGGGAAATTTTTGAACTGAAAGCTGAACTCAACAATGAAAAAAAAGAGAAGAGGAAGGAAGCAGTGAAAAAAGTCATTGCGGCCATGACGGTGGGGAAGGATGTCAGGTAACATCTCTCTAATGGCTCTTTTTTGCTGTTTTTCCCACTTCTCCACCCAAGTGTAAGTTTTAATGAGGCAGAAGGGGAAAAATGAATAAAGGCCTAGGAAATGTCTTTGTGTTTGCTTTGCCCAGTGATTAAATGGCATGCCACGGGCCACCTACAAAGACCAAATGCGACCCCCAAAATGTTGCTTTAGATTCTAAGGCCTATAATACAGTATGTGTTCTGCAAATGAAATATGATTTTATCTGAAAACTTAGATGCTGTCAGATAATGATGAGTTTTCTTAGTGAGATTCAGTATAGATGGGCAATTTCCCCTTATTTTATCTCTATAGCAGTGTTCCTCAAACTCAGCATCTTTAAATTATGTGGACTTCACCTCCCAGAATTCCTCAGCCAGCCATGCAGCTAGGGAATTCTGGGAGGTGAAGTCCACATAATTTAAAGTTGCTTTTTGTTGAGGAACACCGCTCTACAGTAATACTGTGCATTAGGTTGGGCTGAGAAAGTCTTAAACCCAAAGTCACCAGGACTTCTTTAACAAAATGGGGTCTTAAATTTGGATCTCTCTAGTTAACTTCAGCATATTAATCACTGCCACCAGTCTAGAAATTACTGCTTTAACTTGGCTGTCCTTCTTGTCCAGTTCCCTTTTCCCTGATGTAGTGAATTGCATGCAGACAGATAACTTGGAGCTAAAGAAGCTGGTGTATCTCTACTTGATGAACTATGCCAAAAGTCAGCCAGATATGGCCATCATGGCTGTGAACAGTTTTGTGAAAGTAAGTTGCAATATTTATGCGTCTTTGCTTTATTTCAATAGCAAAATAATAATTTGGTGGGAAATTTCTGCATATATTAACACTGTAAATCACCCAGAGCCATAGGAGCTGGGTAGTAAAAAAAGTATACGGACAGTGTGATGACAGATATATGCAGGAACCTCAATAAAGACTCTTCTTATGTAGATATACAATATTTTTTACCCAAAATAACCCCTCATTTTCATTTTTGCCTACTTTGAAGAAGTTTAGAGTCATACTTTATTTATTTATTTATTTATTACCCCTTTTTTATAAAGAACTCAAGGCGGGGAACATATTTAATACTCCTATTTCCCCCACAACAACAACTCTGTGAGGCAGACTGGGCTGAGGGAGAGTGACTGGCCCAAAGTCACCCAGCTGGCTTTCATGCCTAAGATGGGACTAGAACTCTCAGCCTCCTGGTTTCCAGGCCAGACCTTAACCAATACTCCAAACTGGCTTTCAGTATGATTTTTTTTTTTTTAAATTAGAATACAAATCAAGTAAGGCAGAAAAAGTGAATGACTAAGTTTACATATTGTGCTAAACCATCATCATTTGGCTTATGGTGGTGAACATAATTTGGGTAAATCACACTGCCTACTTTCAGTGGCAAAATGCCACAACTCAACTTTAAATGTTGAAGGCTTTCATTATTGAAATAAGCAAAAAAGCACATTATGTTTCTACTAAATTTAACACACTTTTTGACTTCATCCCAAAATATGGGCCAATAATGGGACACCTGCTTTCTCTAAGATATCCCTGCTATCTCCTCTATTGCTCTTAGAAGTCTTTAAAACAAGTGTGGCCTCTAGCGGAAAAAAAAAACATAAGAGTTACCCATTCCTTCCTTAATGTGTTGTATGAGCCCACACAATGATAACTTATTCAGCAAACAGTTGAGCAAACCAGGTTTAATGTAATATATAAACATATCAAGTTTCAAAATAATCAGTTTGAAAAAAAACCTAGTATGCTCTGTAAAGATTTGAATCCAAGTCTTATGGTTGAAATATAACACTTTTGATTGGTACTACAGTGGCTCGGCTCACGCAGGCTCCAAGCTCAGTTTTAAGTAAATCATTTGGCTGGGAATCTGTGTGTATGTGAAGGGATTTGCACAACATTCTAACTCAGTGTTTCTCAACCTTGACAATTTTAAGGCATGTGGACTTCAACTCCCAGCATTGCTGGCTGTGGAATTCTGGGAGTTGAAGTCCACATGCCTTAAAATTGTCAAGGTTGAGAAACACTGTTCTAACTCATTACATTTTTACTTCTTACCTCCTTTCCTTCTCCTTCCCCCCCCCCCCACAAGCTTCCAAGCTGCAATCTTGCAATGGTGTTGCTCTGTCCTAGCTGACTTTCTCAGCTTATTTTCTGTCTGATACTGATTGAACCCAGTGTTGTTAATTGTCAAGCCATTGATTTCCCAGCTGCTGATGTAATTTTACTTGACAGCAGAAATTACATTGAGAGATTCCTTTCTTTACTGTCAGACATGGGGTGGGGAAAAAAAACACTTTTGAGCAAAAGGGACTCTGTTCCATTTGGAAATCTGTTATTTTTTTCAGGAACTAGAAAACTTAAAAATAATCACAAAATCTAAGGATTCTGTTCAAGGGCTGAATGCATTTCTGATTAATATATCTAATTCAGTCCTTGCTCCTGGTCAAAATAATTTTTCTTCTCTCCCTGACGTACCCCAGAACATAGGTGTGTAGAGTTCTCCTTCAACTTTCCTCTTATTTGCATTAATGGTTATCCTTTCCCTGCAAAGTAGTAACATTTGTCTGGTCCTTTTGTAATGTCACAGTAAGTTGGGTAAGTAGGAACTCATAGACACTTTAGAGGCAGATAGGACAAGTGCTCTTTTGGAACTGCTGCTATTAATAAGATATGTGCACAATGTTCCAGAGATCTGCTGTTACATTGTTTGTTAGATTGTTTCTCGGGATCCTGACAATCCACCTGTTCTAAGAGAAATCTGCAGCTTTCCAAATATAAATCCTCCAGAACATGAAGTGGCTTGTGATGTTCCAGGTGTACTTTGACCCAGAACAGAAAAAAGCCCTCTTGTGCTGGATAAAATGTCTAATGTTTGTTGCACAGAGCCAATCTGTATAGCACTGTTTATTAATTTCCTCATCCCAGGACTGTGAGGATCCCAACCCTCTCATCCGTGCTCTAGCCGTGCGTACCATGGGATGTATTCGTGTGGACAAGATCACTGAATACCTGTGTGAACCTCTCAGGAAGTGTCTGAAGGATGAAGACCCGTATGTGCGCAAGACCGCTGCTGTCTGTGTGGCCAAACTGCATGACATCAATGCCCAAATGGTGGAGGATCAGGGCTTTCTGGATTCATTGCGTGATCTCATTGCAGACTCTAATCCCATGGTAAAGTATTAATCTCCTTTGAAATTACCCTGCTTCAAATAACAGGTGATGCTGCTTGGTTCTGGGGAAAACTGGAGCTTAGTGGTAGATGCCATGCTTTGTAGACAGGAGACCCAAGATTAGTTGTAGTCTTTTCCAGTTTTTGCAAAGAAGGAACATTGAGTTGCTGACTGTGAGGGGTATATTTAGCTTGGGACCCTTTCAATCTGAGCAAACAGTTTTAATCCCTTTCTTATACCAAAAGGAAGTTACATGTATTTTGCTTTTTACCTTCACTTCGTACTTGCCCCTGCTTTGTTGATCTTCCAGATTGAAATACAGCATGGCATGGGTCCAGACTATCTGAGAAACTGGCTCTCCCCAATGGGGTTAGTCTGCTTCACCCATGCTGGCAGAAGGGGCATGCTGCAGTCCCCATCAGCCAAGGAACATCTTGCCCCCAGAGGTCAGATCCGCTCCCTATTTTCTGGCCTTCCAAAAAGTCTTGAAGACACGGCTACGCCAACTAGTCTAGGGCCCTAATGGGGATGTACATTTTGGAGGTGGCTGATGGAGTATGGCTGATGGAGTAGAGAGCACTGCACCTCCTACCTGTGTGCACTTTCCACTCTCTTTCTTTATCCTGCTCAGTTTTATTTAAATTTAAGATCTGTATTTATTGTTTTAATTATTTTATACAGCATTTTATTTAATGTCTATAAGCTGCCTAGAGTCACCTTGGCAAGATGGGTGGCATACAGGTTTTGAAAAATAAATTTAGACCAACGTTTAAGGAACCATGGTGGCGCAGTGATTAGAATGCAATATTTCAGACTGCCACAGCCAGGAGTTTGATCCTAACCGGCTCGAGGCTGACTTAGCCTTCCATCCTTCCAGGGTTGCTAAAATGAGGACCTAGATTGTTGGGGATAATATGTTGACTTTGTAAACCACTTAGAGAGAACTATAAAGGATTATGAAGCAGTATGTAAGTGTAAGTGCTATTGCTGCTGCTATTATGGCAAAGGTGAGCCCACTTAAATCGATCAGTTTATTAGAAGTGTAAGATGCTAAGTGATTAAGGATTACTTTAAAAGAAGCTTTTAATTCATCTTGGACAAGACACTTTGGAAAAAATGGGCTAATTATGTGATATATGAGTTGGTCGTTCTGAATGGAATGTGGCACTAAAAAAATTTGCTTTCTGAGAATGTTTCTTTTTGTTTTATTAAACTTCATTACTCTCGTCCATGTTTGCATTGTGGCATCTGCTGCTTTCTGAGCAGACATTTTGTCTGTCCCCCAGCTTCATATTTAAGACACCTTGAAACATTAGGGTACTTGGAAACATAGGACCTGGATACCTCCGAGACCGCCTTCTGCCACAGATTCCCTCCCACAGACCGGTACGCTCCCACAGAGCGGGCCTCCTCAGGGTGCCGTCGGCCAAGCAATGTCGGCTGGCGACCCCCAGGGGGAGGGCCTTCTCTGTGGGTGCCCCCACCCTCTGGAACGAACTACCCCCCGAGATCCGGATGATTCCGGATCTCCTAACCTTCCGCCNTGGCTTTTTCAGCAAGCGGGACTGACCTAGGGTGAATTTTTAAATAGGGACAATTTTAATGATTTTAAACAAGACACAGCTACAAATATTTGGTTTTTAATTGGTTTTTATAGGGAAATGTTTTGTATTGTTTTTAATATGCTGTGAGCCGCCCTGAGTCCCATGGGGGAGAAGGGCGGCATATAAGTTAAAGTTAAATTAAATTAAAAAATTAAATTTATTCATATGTGCCCAAGATCACAGTTCTGGGCAAACTATGCCCAGCAACTTTTCTGTCTGGGCTGCAGGTAATATTTGCACGGGGCAAAGGAGGTGATTGTCAGAATCATGCTATGTGTGGATAGGGCTAGAATGTTCTCTTTTTTCTGTATTTGGGATCTTTAGTTTTTGGTTTTTTTTTAAATACTGGGTTATGTCAACTTAAGGGCTTTCACAATTTCACACATTTCCAGTTTCCAGGATTTTTAGTAATTGCCATTTGAAGGTGTTTGAGAGTAACAAAAATTGGATTTGGTGGTCAAAAGATTTATGAAAGAAGAGTAGCTGAAGGAAAAGCGAGGGGACTGTGGAGTTTGAGGATAAATTGGCAAACCTTTACCCTGGGACAGCATTTTCTCTGTGTTTTGCTGGGGATTGCATAGGAGACGTTCAAGCCTTCCAGTTTTTCCATTTTGAGAGGGTTTAAAAATGGATGCCTTAGGTGTTGCAGAGACTTAAGACATCTATTTTGATCTTGATACCTCCACAAAGGAGTTTCTGCAGGGGGAACGGTTGGAGGAATTTGGCAGGCAGTGCCAAGGCTTGTAGCACCCATTTCACCCCATCCATTCTCAGGGATAAGATACTAAGAGCCTCCAAATGGTGTTGAAGCAGCATGCAGCTTTTAAGCCATGGATTGCTCACTGTTAAATCTGAAGCTCTCGCTGCCTTTTCCTTTCAGTTCTGGAGCAGATCAAGCTGACCAGAATACTGGCTCTGTAGCTCAAACCTTCTGAATAGTGATGTAAGTGTTGGCAAGATGCCACAAAATTTCCCAGACTATGATTTGCAGAAAAAAACAATAGTTATTGATTACCTTGTGGTTTTCCTGAGATGGTAGCACTGAAGTCTGGTTTTTGCTGGTTCTTCCCTGAGTGCCCCCCACCTTATAGAAAATCATACACCCTTCTGGCTTTCAGAAGGCATCTGTTTAAGATGCCTCTATTCAGGTTTGCTTGCATGAATATTGATGACTTCTCAGCAACATTATCTTCTCACCACAGCAAGAAGCTTTGTGAACGAGCCGAAAGCCAACTTAATTTCTTTATTTTGCCCATCATCCAGACTCCAGATGGAAATCTCTTTATAAAGAAGGAACAGAAGAGAGAAAGAACAAAGGGATACGTTCCTTTTAAAAGAAATGAATGATTTTGGCCAATGAAACACTCCACAAATAGATTAAAGTGCAGATGGACTGTTGAACTCATGAATTGCTGAGCAAGTTATGTCCATTGTCATACTACTGTGCTATCAAACATGTTTTGGATGATTGAGAAAGACAGGGAGATTGCTAGGAGGATATTGTAATAGTAATGGGTGTAAGGACAAAAGAGAATCTGAGGAAGTAGCATCCCAAGGGAAAGGACACCAGGTGGAGACAAAACGCTGAGAGAAGAAAGGCGAGATGCTGCTGGTAGGAAAAATAATATGAACGGAATAGCTGGAGAACATCTGCCCAGGATGCTAATTTAGAACTCTTTTTCAAGCCCAGTTAGATTATTATTTTAGTAGAGAAACCATTTTGAATAGTTGTTGGATTTTTAGTCTTTCAGACGTTCCTAATAGTTCCCAGAATATATGCTTTACGGTGGTGATAGCATACTTTAGTTTGGCAAGATTCTGTCTATGGGGAGGAACCATAAAGAAATCTACTTGGAGGAATCACACATATCTTTCTTGGTTTTTGAATTGGAGATCGCTGTTTCACATCAGACACTCAGACCGATGGCTAAGCAACAAAGGCAAAAGGAAGCTTATAGATAATAACCTTCTGCTATAGTTTTGGCCTTCTGTAAATGTCCAGTGATGCTGTTCCCCAACCTGCAGTGCTGGACCTGACAGAGGAGCTGGCTGCAGGGCAGGGCTGGATTAGAATTTGACTTTTAAACCTTCCATGAGTCCTCAGTTTTTGGAAACCTGAAGCACTTTGGACCAATTCTGTTGTAATTAACAACAAGCCATTAGAGGGCAGCATGCAATTCTTTTATGGTCATTGATTCCCCAAGTTGTAAGGAAAATATTGTACTCAACTTCCAGGAAAGTTAGAGGTTGATCTATAATATTGCTTTTTAGTTTTTTTCCTTGTGTTATGTTTTTATTTTACAGTGCCTTGCTCTATGTGTTACCTTTTAAGTACTTTCAGGAATTTTAACATTGTAATCCATCCCCATGCAATCTTAGTCTTTGTTTGGCTTAAAAGAATAATAAATGAAGCTTTTTTCTCAGAGACTGACTTGTGCAAAAGTGTCTCTCTCCCCATCCCCCAGTAATTTCTCCTTTAAACAACCTGAATGCTTTCAACTACAACTCCCATCAGGCCAGTTAGCATAGTGAATAGTTAAGGATTATGGGGACTGTAGACCAAATAGTTGAGTTGGTGTGGGCATTGAGGGCAGTATAGTCTGCTTTAAAGCAGCGCTTCGCAAAACTGGAAAAGTTGCGTAAAAGTGATTTTTCCTTGGATAATTACACATGAACCCAATGCCCAATCACCACAAGGACATTTAAATTGACTTAAAATATTTTACTTACATTGGGATTTTTTGATAAGGAAGGACAAGGTTTGGGAAACACTGCTTTAAAACTTTCAGGTAGAAAACTGAGGTAGTGTCTTCTTGTGCTTCAGTCAGTGTCTAGGTTATACCCTGTGACAAACCCTAAATCCAAGATAACAAAATACAGTTGGCTATTTTAGCAGTTAAGGCATTAGGCTGGAAATCGAGAGACCATGAATTCTAGTTCTGCTTTAAGCACAAAACCATTTGGGTGAGTTTGGGCCTGTCACTCTCAGCCCTAGGAAGAGACAATGGCAAACCAGTTTTTTAACTCGCCTTTATTATTTTTATAAATAACTCAAGATGGATAACACCTTTCTCTTCCTATTGCCCCCACAACAATCACCATCCTGTGGGGTAAATTGGGCTGAGAGAGACTGGCCCAAAGCCACCAGCCAGCTTTCATGCCCAAGGCAGGAGTAGAATTCAGTCTTCTGGTTTCTAGCCAATAGGTGTTGCTTTAACCACTAGACCAAAATGTTGCCAAAAAAACCTGCAGGGACTAGTATCCATGTAGCATAATACTGTGCCCAGACAGTCTTAGCTGGTGACAGGGATCTGGGATCTTTGTATGGGGTTAAGGAGGATCTCAGTGGGGTATAAGTATTCCTGCTTTGGTAAGCCCTTGTTTGCATAAGTTCTTTGTTGGTTTGTTGTTCTTACATTGTTGATCTTTGCCTACACAGTGTCAGAAATCTAGAAATGGCGAATGTATCCCTTCACCGTATGGCCAAGGATTGTAGGTCACCATCTTTTCACCCCATTAAATGGCATCGAGGGAGAGTTTAGGCAGGCCCAAAGAGTTGAACCTGCCTGAATCTTTCCCAGCAGGCAGATTTGCACATAATGGCGTATTTCTTTTCACTCAAGCAGCACATCCCTAATGTTCCACTCCTCCCAATATGCTTTTATTCTGAACGTGGAATGGGGGCAGCTTTGGAAAGACCCCTGTGGTTCTGCCTCTTTCATCTTCCCAGCCACTGCGCAGGCCAGCTGTGATTTTCCATTCTCAGAAGCTTTTCTCCAATAACTCGCATTCTTCATAGGCTGCTGGATATAAAGTGTTGAAATCCATTTTTCTCCCTCTTTTCTTCTGTTGTAAAAGAAAAAACAGGCTAATTTAAAAAAAAAACAAATTTTAGAAATTCTTTTTATATAGGACTGTATAGGATAGGGACAGGAATTAATTATATTAAGTATGGTGCCCGGCTTTTGAGTCCTAATAATAAACTACTGCACCCCAGAGTCAATGTTTTTAAATGCTTGATCATATCTCCTGTTTCATAGATACACATATGATGCCATTTTTCTGGAAAGACATTCCTTGTTTTTACTTTCCTCTTTTAAAATTTATTGCTGTGAATTTTGAGCCAGGGTAGAAGAATTGTTGGTCAGCGTATTCAGAGCATGATAGATAAGAATCTGCTGTGATCAGATAGGTGGCAACTTTTCAGAGTAGTGTTTCTCATCCGTAGCCAGTTGAAACTGTGTGGATTTCAACTCCCAGAATCCCCCAGCCACCCAGAGGTTGCAGAAAAACTCTGAACCAGAAACTTAACTCTGGAGCCTTTCCATGCATCCAGAATCTAGTCCTTGAATACCTTAAGCAGCTGACAGTTTATCTTATCCATAAATGGATAAGAGATTTAGCTGTATAACTTTAGCTGTATAACTTTAATTATAATTATCTTTTTATTCTATTATAATTGACTTTTTGCACTTTTAAACTTTTATTATATTGTAAGCTGCCCAGAGTCACTATATGAGTGAGATGGGTGGCACAGAAATCCAATAAATAAGAATAAATAATGATGTTTTGGTTTAGTATGTTATGTGAATCTGGCTACTGATTGTAGTTTATAGGCCACGACTTATGACAATGCAATGTGCAAATCTCGCTAGCTATATATTCTTTAATCATCATGATTCAAAAAGCCAAATGTAGACACAGTGGCATGTGTAATCTCAGAGGAACCATTGTCTCTGAGCATGTAATAGAGAAAAGGGAATATCTTCCAGAAAGATCCTTCTGGATTAATTTTTTTTCTGAATACTCATGTGTATTATGGATACATACCAATTTTATATTACAGTATTTTATGTATTTATTTTTATTGGTTAAAGGGATTTTGTAAACTCTTGTCAGCCCATGTGGAGACATAGTATATAAATATGTGTACAGATAGTCCTCGACTTACAAAAGTTCACTTAGTGAGTGTCCAAAGTTACAACGGCACTGAAAAAAGTGACTTGTGACCATTTTTCACAGTTATGACTGTTGCAGCATCCCCATGATCACGTGATTTACATTCAAATGCTTGACAACCGACTCACATTTATGACATTGCAGTGTCCCGGGGTCATGGGATCACCTTTTGCAACCTTCTGACAAGAAAAGTCAATGGGGAAACTAGACTCATTTAACAACCGTGTTAATAGCTTAACCATTGCAGTGATTTACTTAACAAATGTGGCAAGAAAAGTTGTGAAATGGGACAAAACTCACTTAACAAATTTTTCACTTAGCAACATAAATTTTGGGCTCAATTATGGTCATAAATTGAGGACTACCTGTATTACGTATTTTTTTCCATTGGTTGAACACAAAACAGGGATTTTGTAAACCCCTGTCAGTCCGTGTGAAAAAGTAATATATGAATATTAAAAAAATGTGGCTGAATTGATCCATTGTTCAGAAGTTCTATTTAAATCAGTTAATACAGTTTTTTTTAAAAAAGGAAATGAGCTGTGGCACAACTTAATCATTTCAAAAAAATCTCCATCCATCCTGCAGAAGTTCATGCAAGGTAAGCAGCATTCCGAAGTTTCTGCTCCACTGCTGAGTATCAAGTTTTTTGCTCTCTTTTTTTGCCAGGTTGTGGCCAATGCTGTTGCTGCCTTGTCTGAAATTAGCGAATCTCACCCCAATAGCAATCTGCTAGACCTGAACCCTCAGAACATCAACAAGCTACTCACCGCTTTAAATGAATGCACGGAGTGGGGGCAGATATTCATCCTGGACTGCCTTTCCAACTACAACCCAAAGGATGACCGTGAAGCCCAAAGGTTGGCTGATCTATGACTGCTCTGCTTGAATGGGAATTCTCCTTTCCTTTTACTGAAACTTTGATAAAGTTCTGTGACTTCTTCACTGTAATAATAATAATAATAATAATAATAATAATAATAATAATAATAATAAGGTTGGAAGGGACCTTGGAGGTCATCGAGTCCAACCCCCTGCCCAGGCAGGAACCCTACACCATTTCAGACAAACGGCTGTCCAGTCTCTTCTTAAAAACTTCCAGTGTTGGAGCATTCACCACTTCTGGAGGCAGGTTGTTCCATTGGTTAATTGTTCTAACTGTCAGGAAGTTTCTCCTTAGTTCTAGGTTGCTTCTCNGAATAGCTTGACTCCCTCTTCTTTGTGGCAGCCCCTGAGGTATTGGAACACTGCTATCATGTCCCCCCTCATCCTTCTCTTCGTTAAACTAGACATACCCAATTCCAGCAACCGTTCCTTATATGTTTTAGCCTCCAGTCCCCTAATCATCTTTGTTGCTCTTCTCTGTACTCTTTCTAGAGTCTCAGCATCTTTTTTATATCGTGGTGACCAAAACTGGATGCAGTATTCCAAGTGTGGCCTTACTAAGGCATTGTAAAGTGGTATTAATACTTCACGTGATCTTGATTCTATCCCTCTGTTAATGCATCCCAGCAAGAAAGACCCTGCCCATAGGTCTTCTAATATCCAGTTCTGGTTCGGTTCACAGTTTACACTAAGCCAGTGATGGCGAACCTTTTAGAGACCGAGCGCTCAAAATGCAACCCAAAACCCACTTATTTATTGCAAAGTGCAATGCATCAGCATTGTGGTGCTCTCAGGGAGAGGGGGGGCGTGGCCCACTGGCCGGGCATGGCCGCTGGGTGGGCAAAGATGTGGTCACAGCTGTGGTGGTCACGTCAGACTGGGTGGGCATAGCTGGGGTGGGTGGGCTAGGACCAGGCTGGTGGGGACCAGTCCCTCACCATCTCTGGGGCATCCCCAGGGGGCCAATGCCGCTTCCTTGCTCACTTCCTGCCCCGTCACTTCCAAACGCCACATGCTCGCTATTCTGGTGAACTCTGCTGGGGCAACGGCGTGCGTGCCCACAGAGAGGGCTCTGAGTGCCGCCTCTGGCACATGTGCCATAGGTTCGCCACCACTGCACTAAGCTAACCCTGGCTTACTTATATTTATTTAACTTGGTTATACAACCATCTGCCAAACTCTCTTGGTCACCAATGATAAAGAACAAATGTAAAATAGAGACATTCAGAGTAATTAAATGGCAAGTGAAAAAGCGAATAAAATGAACAAGCATAACGATAGATTAGATCGGCAGTTAAAATCAGTTTATGACCGGTTGCAGCATTCCACAGCCATGGGATCGTGATTTGCACCATTTTTGCCATTTTCCAGGGAAAAAAAACACCCATTGGATATGCTGGATTTGCTTAATGGCCTCATGATTCACTTTAGAGCCTCATTGGCTTACTTTATGACTGTTGTAAAAATGGTCATAAAATTAAGTTGAGCCATGTGATGCCTCAACTTATGACTGCAATAACTTACAACCTAAAGGCCACGCTCCATTGTGGTCGTGATGCGAGGACTACCTGTAGAACCATTGCAGAGCCATGTGTCCTGTTCTCAAATCTATTTGATGATCTAGAGGGATATTATGTTTAATGGTATCTAAAGTCACTGAAAAATGAAGAATAAGTCATCCATCTTCTCTTCATTCTTAGATAAATAGAACTGATGCAGTCTCAATCACGTAGCCATTTTGAAATGGGTCGGGCTATTCTACAGCCTCCAGAATTGCCTGCAGTTGAGAACCTACCACATTGTCAGTCATCCTACACAACCTTGGGAATTAGAGAGTGGCTTATTATTAGCTCTTTTTGACAGTGAATTGTCAGATCAGGATAATTGCTGATTTCCATCTTCTCAGACCTTCTTTATCTCTGTCAGTATAAAAATTGCTTAGAGTAGAATTAAATCCTAGGTAGACAGTTGTTAACTTTGGTTATTCTTCAGTAACTCTTTGAGGTACTTAAGGATAGTGGCATGTTCAAGAAGCAGACTTACACTATTTTTTATGTATTGTATACATTAGATTTATAGCATTGTGGAACTCCCTATTTTTCCCCCCAGAACATCAGCCCTGTGAAATGGGTTGTGTTGGGACAAAGCAACCAGCCTCAAGTTGTTCAGGAAGCTTCTGTGGTTAAAGATACATTCTCATTAAAACCAGATATTGAGAAAACCCAGTGTTAATATTAAACCACTAACAGAGTTGGCATGCAGAACTTCAAAACTTTCTTTGGGTATTATCCAAAGGTAGGTTTCTGTAAGTGGAATAGGAGGGGTGTGATTTCCCCTTCCCACTTCCCACTCTTAAAATCTGCTCTGCAGACTTCTCAGATCTTACAGAGCAGATTTTGAAGGGGTGTAGGAAGCTGTGGTATGAAGCAGAAATCAGATGATGCAGTCTTCTTTTAGCCATCCCATGAACTGAGAACTGCTTCCCAACCGTATTATCCCAATAGGTAACACTACCTGGGCCCTCTGATCTAACATCCAAAGCTAAACAGTATTAGGCTCAATTACTACCTTGATCTGAGGCTGCCAGAGAATCCCAGGAGCATAGCAACAGAGACTGTGAAGTTGAAAAACATCTTGGAAATAGCAGGGGGCTACTTCTATAGTGTTGGCAGGAAAATTGTTCAGGTATCTCCGTGCCATGAGGAGTCAGGTTTGACTTGAAGGAGGCTTAATTTTGATGTCTGGGTTTATTTTCCATAGGCCAGATAAATGACAGCTATTGTGACACTTTTGTTGGTTGCCTGTAGTGAAACTTCCTTCCCCCTTTAATGCTAATTCTTAGTGCACTTTAGGACAACAGTAAAATTTCTCTTTTTAAGCTATTGTTTTTAATGACTGAGAATCAGCAAACATAGGAAATCAATCTGAGATTGATTAATCCAGGTATTTCAGATTGCATCTGAACCAGTTTTATTTCCAGATGTTGGGAACAACAGCAGTAGATTAGCTATCTCCAATATGCACTGCTTGTCTGCTTCTCTATTAGCACCTGTGACTATCAACAGAAAATATTGTAGTCAAGACCCTCAAGGATCTACTTAATTGGATATCTGATTCTGCACAGCAAAACTCTTTTTAAAAAAACCCCACTGTGTTGCTTGCTAATTTTGGATTATCAAAATGTGTCTCTCCAGCATAGCCAGGGTTTTCCAGGAGAAAAGAACAGCCTTAGCCTCTATTCTTATTTCTCTTCTTTGGCAGCATATGCGAACGGGTGACGCCTCGCCTCTCTCATGCCAACTCCGCTGTTGTGCTTTCGGCTGTCAAAGTCCTAATGAAGTTCCTAGAGCTCCTTCCCAAGGATTCTGACTATTATAACATGTTGCTGAAGAAACTGGCCCCTCCACTGGTCACCTTGCTGTCCGGCGAGCCGGAAGTCCAATATGTTGCTTTGAGGAACATCAACTTGATTGTGCAGAAAAGGTCAGGCACAAGGAAGGATGTTGTTTCAATAACTCCCTGATTGAATAACTGTATATGAGACAGCTTTGCTTGTTCAACGTGGGCTGATCCTGGTATTCTGCAGCTTCAGGGATATGTTAATACAGAGTTATTTAATGGCATTGGCTCACAAAAAGCGCACTCCTGGTAAATAGTTTGAAATGCTATTAAAGGGGGGAAATAGAGAAATTTGGACCACTGTTATTGTTCTATTTGCAGATGATTTAATACAGCTTTTCTTACCTGCCAGATTTCCTGGTAGGTTGGATTATATCTCCCATTATTCCCAGCCAGCACAATGTCTGTGCTAACTAGGATAATATAATCCATTATATTCAGAGGTACAAGTAGGTGATAGGAAGCTGACTAGAGTTGCTTTCATATCTCCTGTTAGTCTGCATGGCAGTTCTTTAACTGGAAAACAAATACAAATCAGGAATGAACAAGATTGCACCTCGGTGATAATTTTAGTGTGTGTGCTCATTCCTTTCCCAGGCCTGAAATCCTGAAGCAAGAGATCAAGGTGTTTTTTGTGAAATACAATGACCCCATCTACGTGAAGCTGGAGAAACTCGATATCATGATTCGCTTAGCATCCCAGGCCAACATTGCTCAGGTCAGTCTGGGACCCAATGGGTCTCATTTCACATGTGTCTAGAAAATGTCTTCCAATAAATACTTTGCCATGAGCTTTGCAGTTACTTGTAATCCCTGACACCCCCCCCCCCATCTTGGTGCCTTGGGGTAACATTGTGACAAATAACACGTTTCTTGACTGTGTCCAGCTCCCTGCCTTCCTTAGTTCTTTTCTCTGACAAGTCTGTATGCTGCATGATTTGAACCCAACATAAACAAACAATAATAAGGGTGTGGCTACAGTCCTCTGCTTGGTTGGCCTTCTGATAAATGGATCTATGGGTATGGCCATTCCTACCCTGGGAATTCTTTGATGAGAATGCCCAGAACAGGGTCCCAGTATTCCAAATCTGCCCACTGGCTTAAAATGATTAGGATCTCTTGCTGTAATACATTTCCAATGTGTTTGTATTTCTTTGTAACAGATGGTCTAGAACAGTGATGGCAAACCTTTTAGAGACCGAGTGCCCAAACTGCAACCCAAAACCCACTTATGCATCTTTGGGTGCCAGGTGGTGTGGCCCATTGGCTGGGTGTGGCCCATTGGCTGGGTGTGGCCCATTGGCTGAGTGTGGCTGCGGTGGTAACAGCAGACTGGGTGGGACTAAAAAGTTCAATCAATTCCAACTTTGCAAAATCTTTTTTTTCCCCACAAGAAGTTGAAATTGACTGATTGATTGAACCTTTTTTTTTTTTTTGCACACAGTGGTGGAGGCCTAAAGCGAAAAGGTTTTATAAAACCCAGCTGAAGGCCCAGGACTGGGGCGATGGCGCGTGTGCCCACAGAGAGGGCCCTGAGTGCCGCCTCTGGCACCCGTGCCATAGGTTCGCCACTACTGGTCTAGAAACTTGTAAACTTTTTTCCCTTTTATTGGATCATATCAGTGGTAGCAAGCCAATAGGGGACAAGGGCAACAAGAAATAGTGCCACACTCAGATTTAATCTGAGGGTTGTTTTTTTTGTTAACTTATTTCCAACAGGTTTTAGCAGAACTGAAGGAGTACGCCACAGAAGTGGATGTGGACTTTGTCCGCAAAGCTGTCCGTGCCATTGGACGATGTGCCATCAAAGTTGAAGTGAGAAGCTTTTCTTCCCTGATTTTGCTTTTGTGTTTTAATTGCTGCAGCTGACTGAACTTCAGTTCAGGAGATGAACTGTAAGGGTTATGCTTTGAAAACAAATAGCGTTAAAAACAAAGTTGACATCATATGTGGCCCGGATGTAGATCACTTGGTGTAACACACAAGCACCGCAGTCAATTCTGGTGGATTCATGATGTCAGTGTTGGAAGATGAGGTCAAAAAAGGAAATGAGGCAGCTGCAACTGTGTGATCAAATCTCTGCCCCTTTTTACATGCTTTGAGTGTGTTGGGTTGTTGTTTTTTCCTTTCACACACCTTGCGGGCCACCACTGCACAAAAATACGGTTGGGGAACAGAGTATCTGAGAGTAGTAAATTCTTTTTCTTACTCATCGTAAAAGAGAACATTTTCAGCATTTTGATCTTCACTTCACACTAAAAAACATATATGTCAGCTTTCAGTCCTTTGGGAAATCCTGTCTTTTATTGTTCTCTCTGCTTTCAGAGCCCTTGACTTAGACAGCACCGTTCAGTCAGCAGGGAACTGTTACAATTTAAAATGCATTTATCTCTGGAACAGACTGACCTCCTCTACCATTGCCAACCCCTCCAAACTCCCTAGCAGCTTTTCTAACAATAAACATGATTTGTTATTTATTGAGCTTAACTGACATAGGAGCCAACACTGGGAAATGCTTTTTCTTTTTAAAAAAAGGGCAAATATTTGGGGGTGAATCAGCAGGATTTCATGTTCGGTAAATTCAGCAGATAACAATTTCAAAATGATGAATTTCGAATTTCTAGGACAAATGGAGGAATGCCTGGCTTTTCCATGTGATAGAGTGCTCTGCTGTTAGGCTATGCAAGTAGTTTTTGACTTATGACCACAATTGAGCCCAATATTTCTATTGCTAAATGAGGCGGTGGTCAAGTGGCTTTTGTCCCCTGTTATGACCTTTTTGCCACAGTTATTAAGCGAATCACTGCAGTTGTTAAGTGAATCATACAGTCATTAAGTAAATCTGGCTTCCTCCATTGACTTTGCTTGTCAGGAGCTAGCCATAAATGCCAGTTGCCAAGTGCCCAGATTTTGATCACGTGGCCGTGGGGATGCCACAACAGTCATTAGTGTGAAAAACGTTCATAATTCACTTTTTTGGTGCCCTTGTAACTTTGAACAGTCACTAAATTAATGGTTGTAAGTTGGGGACTAGCTGTAGTTTTTTCCCCTTAGACATGGAAACCCACCTAAACATTGTAGCATTAGAAATAAAGGAAGCTACTTTATTTGCCATCAGGCTGTAGTTTAAGATTAGATAATTGGTTGAGACAGGCAGAGCTTCTCAGTGGTCTCTTTATCAGCGATGTTACTGACTAATTCTCAACTGCATTTCCTAGGACAGTGATTCATGTTGGATAGACTCTTGTATCAACAATGGTTTCTATTAAACCAGAAATATTCAAATCTATGAAAACCTTGGGAAAAATCCCTGTCTTCAGGGGAGGCTGATTAAATTAGTAAGGTCCTTGATATGTACAGTATACTGACACTTGAGGAAAGGTGGTCCTTTCTGTATATATGATTAGAAAGAGCCATCACACAAAGATGTACAGTCATTCATTCATAGACTGATAATGTGCCTAAGACAGTTTCCATAACTTTAAAAAATATTAATGGCGTTGGCAGCAAATGTGTTTCGAGTATAGTGTACAATCTCCATTAATCAAATATAGACTGAAATGTCTCATTTCATGCCATTTGGGGATGTTTTCCATGCAAGGACAGTTTCTTCTGAATGGGTGGAACATGATCTCTGCTTTCTGATTTCTAAAAAAGGAGGTCTTCTCATAGTGATGTGTTTTAAGCCAGGAGATCACAAGGATTGTCTGGCTGCCATTGTGGAAGAATCTGTTTCGTTGCCCAAGGGACGCCCAAGTTTAGGATTCCTACGCGCTTCCAAAGCAGACAGTGTGACATATTGTGGAGTAGTGCCCTCTGAGCGCATATCAGGGAAACCCCAGGGACTCTGTATGCAGTTTCATCATGTACTGACTGTATAAACAGTCTACTTTTGAATTTGTGAATATAGCAAATAGTTCCATATTTGCTCATTGAGAAGTGCTTTTTAACACTTTTGCCATTCACTAAAATAAATAAATAAATCTAAAAAGGGAGTGGATGTGATACATGTAGGGGAAGTTATTGAATTGTGAGGCACATCCAGGTTAGCCTTTATACTCGAGCTGACATTCTACTTGAAGATTTCTGCTCTTCTGTGTCCTTTTTGACAGCAATCTGCTGAGCGCTGCGTGAGCACACTTCTGGATCTCATCCAGACCAAGGTCAACTATGTAGTGCAGGAAGCCATCGTGGTCATCCGAGACATCTTCCGCAAGTATCCCAACAAGTAAGTACAACTACCAAACGAAGTGTGCAGAAGCGACCTTGCCAATACTAATTGTGGCTTCCTTAAGGGATGCCAATTTGTGTGGCCTTTAAGTGACCTAGTGGAGGAACACCTGAATGAGTAGAGACAGGGCAACTTAATTTGAGAAAAATCAGGTGGCACTGATTAAATAGAGTGAATGCATTACTCTCCATAGATTTAGAATCACAAAGTGGGAAGGGAATTTAGAATCCGTTTAGTCCAACTCCTCTTCCATTAGAGCATTTCTGACAGATAACCATCCATGCATTCTCTGAAAAAGAATTCACCACTTCATGTGGCAACCTGTACTACAAATTGACAGCTTGTACACTCACAAAGTTCCTCATGGGGTCTAGGCTGAACCTCCTACTTTATGGTTTTAACCATTTGGTTCTGGTCTTTCCCTCTGGGACAGTAGAGAATAATTTCACTTTCATTTGATAGCATTTTAGAGTTTTCATCATATTTCCCCTCATTCATCTCTTCTGTATGCAAAATATACATGGATACATTAAATGTTCTTCCAAGAGCTTGGTATACCCAGACCTCTCACCATTTTGATAGCTCTTTTCTGAACTCGTTCCAACTGGTCAATATTCTTTTTAGACTAGAGTGTCCAGAATTGGACACAACACTACAGGTTATGTCTGGCCAGGGCAAAATAGATTGGGGAAAAAATATTTTTTTTCGATTTGCCTTTTTAGCATTTGAATCACAATACTGGTTCATATTGAACTTGTGGTCAACAAAGATAACCAATCTCCTTTGATATGTACCACTGCTAAAACCTAATCTGTTTTTGCTCAACTCATCTACATGCCTTCATCAACACTAGTGATTAATGATCTGAAATACCAATAATTATTCAAGAAGTGGAAAGCAGATATGGGACCATGGGATGAGGTGCTTTGCAGAGACTTGAAGTAGACAAGGGAAGATACTTGGTAAACAGAGGATAGGGGATTATTAAAGTGGATGTAACAATAGTTAAAACCAGGATCTGAAGACCTTGGAGCAAAAGGAGGATGAATGCAAGGTTTGTTTTGGGGAGAAAAAAACTTAGGGCACAAGAAGTTTTGATAATAACCCTATCCAACTCTGCCTTGGTTAAATTAGGTATGAGAGTATCATTGCCACACTTTGTGAAAACCTTGATTCTCTGGATGAGCCAGATGCCCGAGCAGCTATGATCTGGATTGTGGGCGAATATGCAGAGAGAATTGACAATGCAGACGAGCTCTTGGAGAGCTTTCTGGAAGGCTTCCATGATGAAAGCACTCAGGTAATACTGATATCTCCATATTCCTGTCTCAGTTTTCTGAAGGAAGAAACTGGATCCTTGATTTCAGCAGCTTGATTCTGGCCAAAAGCTTGCCCATGTTTCTCTTTCCACAAGCTGTTGTTTCTCCACTGTGCTACTTCTCTATTATGTGCTGCTAAACCCCTGCTGGTGCACCTTTTTCCTATTTGCCCTCTGGATACGTCCAACTATTCCTAATTCCCAGCAGCTGGGGAAGAGTTTGCTTTTCATTAACCTGTTTTAAGACAAAACTGGGATTTCATCTTTGTCACCACATATCTGCCAAATTCCACGTACATGCATATCTTTGACTTTGGCAGACAGCTGTCACATCGTCCCTGAAGGTATTTAAAAATAGCTTTTCAATGTAATCGGGATATTATCTCAACAGAGAACGGTTTGTCTTTGTTAATTGTATTTGTCTATCATCTTTTACTCACTCAGCTTTGCTCTTGCTTCTCAGCAACTAATCAGAACATCTTCCCTTTTTTCATGTCTCAGTATTAGCTTCTCCCTGCAAAGTTTTTTGCATTGGTCTATAATTCAGGTCCCTCTGGATCTGCCCATTTCTCTTACTTTTGTGTAACTGGTGTAGTTCTGACAGCTTATGCAGAAGCCTCAGTAGTATATAGATCAGGGGTCTTCAAACTTGGCCCTTTTATAACTTGTGGACTTCAACTCCCAGAATTCCTCAGCCAGGCACGCTGGCTGAGAAATTCTGGGATTTAAAGTCCACAAGTAATAAAAGGGCCAAGTTTGAAGACCCCTGATATAGATAATAGAACATCCATGTTTAGAATAATATGGCCTAAGTACCAGCTGCTCAGAGATAAATATGGAAGACCTGTTTTTTCCCTCACACTTGCTTACTGCTACCTGGAGTCATTAGATTGATTGGCAATTGGGGGAAGCAGGATGCTAGATTAAATTTAGAGCTGATCCCATAAGACTTCTTTTCTTTGTTAATTGCAGGAAGAGCTGCATCACACAGTTGCTTAACCTTTCTGTCTTTGTTTAAACCTTATATCCCATTGAAGGCAATATTTCCTGAGATCAGCTGTTACTGGAAATGTAATTTGTCCATCAGAAACCTTCCTCATTTCTTTGTTCTTGCTTTTCCTCCAGGTGCAGCTCACTTTGTTGACTGCCATTGTAAAGCTATTTTTGAAGAAGCCATCCGAAACACAGGAATTGGTCCAGCAAGTGCTGAGTCTTGCTACACAGGTAAGGCACAGACCCTCTTCACCTGCACTTCCTATGCTGAAAAGTGTTAGCATCACTGTTACGCTATCAAAAGGTCCTCCCAATTCTTGGTTAGTTATATTGTCTGCAGTGACTTTGGAACCCTTTCTATCTGATTGCTGGTAACATTTGAATAATATCAACATGGAATGGTCAACAATGTGTGACTACTTTCCATCCCAGTATCTGTCCTGCACATTAAAGAGCTCATATTTTTTTTTTAAAAGAAAAGCAGTGCTAGGGATAATGAATGCTGGTGTTGATTGTTTTAAAAGGGGATTAAATAAATTAAAGTTGGAAGCACATTTGTGAGTCAGTATAGATTTGGATGTCTGATTGCAGCCTCTACATTTTTTTATGGGCAAGCAGTGCATTTCTGATTATTATTCGACAACAGCAGAGATGGTTGACTGTCTTTCTGTTGTCCCCAGAAAACCATGGAATAGCTAGCTTTTGGTAATCAGAGGCGGTAAACTCCATCTTTAAAGGTGTTTCATTTGCAGTTCTCACAGTTAGCAATACTGTATCTAGTTCTTTCTTTGGAGGAAGAAAGTCTGTCACATACAGGTAGTCCTCGATTTAGAACCACTATTGAGCCCATCATTTCTGTTGCTAAGTGAAACATTTGTTCAGTGAGTTTTGCCCCATTTTATGGCCTTTCTTGCCACAGTTATTGAGTGAATCACTGCAGTTGTTAAGTTAATAACGTGGTTGTTAAGTGAATCTGGCTTCCCCATTGAGTTTGCTTGTCAGAAGGTCGCAAAAGGTGGTCACGTGATCCTGGGACACTGCGACCGTCATAAATATGAGTCAGTTGCCAAGTGTCTGAATTTTGATCCTGTGATCTTGGGGATGCTGCAATGGTCGTAAGTGTGGAAAATGGTCATAAATAACTTTTTTCACCGATGTTGTAATTTCAAATGGTCAGTAAACAAACTGTTGTAAGTCGAGGACTACCTTTGGTTTGGCTGACATACTCTGCAATAGCAAGGATTCCATATGTTGTTTTATTGTTGCTTGTGTAGCAGCAAAGGTACTTTCACCAACATTAAATGTAGGGAAAACAGATCACCAGTCTTAAGTGCAGGGATGCCCTGGTGCGAGTCGCATGGCTTTATCCAAGAAACACTTTTCAAACAAGGAAGTCTATTTACAGTAGATAGTCAATTCAAGGTGTTGGTAGTTTCCTATAAAGCCCTTCATGGCACGAGGCCAGTTATTTGAGGGACTGCCTCTCCCAATTCTATTAAATCCAGCAGGAGAGGTATGCTACACGTCCCATTAAAAAGAGCCATCTGGCAGGATTTAGGAGGAGAGCCTTTTCTATTATGTCATCTGTTCCTTGGAACATCATCTCTCCAGAGATTATAATAGTCTGACCCAGTTGGCCTTGAAAATGTTCTTATGTCATTGGGCACGAGGATTGGAATATGAGGCAGAGTCACGGGATAGTTATGGTGATAGGTTTGTGGAAGAGAGAACCTGTGGCCCTTCATATACTGCCAAACAATAGTTTTCAGTAGCCCAGCTAATGGTAAGAAGTGCCGTGAGTCATAATTTAATGAAATCCAAAGGAACAAAAATCTCCTATAACTGTTAAACCATATTATAGAAACTGAGAATTAAAAAAATACATTGCTCCAGAACGTATCAGGGAGACCTAATTTATATGTGCAGAATCAAAAATGGAAAATAGAGTATACCTCCACAAGTTTCAGGAGCCATTTAAAATGTATCTTCCTTGATAGTATAAAATATACTTCTAAATATTGACATCCTGATAGCTTTTCACTCCTGAAATCACAACCCCAAGGGATCATCTGTGCTTTTCTGTTATTGTGCATTCATATGATGAATAGTATGGTTTTAAAACTCCATCAAAGAAAACAGATCTCCAGAAATACGCAATGACCAAAACAGAACATGATGACCAAAACCAACATTTTGCAATTAAGTTTACATGAGTTGGCATAGCTCGACAGATGAGTCAGTGGATACCCAGAGAACAAAACTTAACTTTGTGTTCCAGCAGCTTCTTTCTTTGTTTGTTTAATAACTGTACCACTTCAGTCCAAGAAGACTGTCCAGTGCCCCATCAAACAGGGAGTAGCCAGAGTCTGTAAAGATGTCTCTTTCTTGAGTTTTCCTTCCCAGAACATTAAATAAAATCTACAAGTCCAATGCTTCCTCAGTCTGGAGCAGGAATCTGTCAATTTCTCATCCCTATTTGAATCATACGACAGAGGGATGGGGAGGGGACTGGAACTGGCTCCCTTTACACCACTTCTACACCTCCATTCTTGTGCTAACTCATTTTAACTGTTAACATTGCACACTAACCATGTTCCCTACACTTAATCGATTTAAACACAATTGTGCAAAGAAAACCAATCTGAGGGGTACTGAACTCATTCTGACAACATTGTTGAAATTTGTAAAACACTACGTTTTTAAAGAACTCTCAGACTGCTAAAAAGCAACTTTTAAATGTTTATTTGGAAGTGAAAACAGGCTTACAAATTCTTTTACTTTAAACCAAGGGTTTATTTTATTTATTTATTTTATTTTTTGGATTTATATCCCGCCCTTCTCCCGTAGGACTCAGGGCGGCTGACAATCTATTTAAAATACATACAAAACAATACAAATTTAAAATTAATTAAAAGGAATATTTAAATATTTGTCAAATTTTAAAATATAATTAAAACCCCCCTAAAAATTACCCTAGGCCAGTCCTGCAAGCTGGNTGCCATGGAGCGCTTTAAAGATGATAGTCAACACCTTAAAGCGCACCCGGAAGGCCACAGGCAGCCAATGCAGCTCACGCAGCAGCGGTGTCACGTGGGAACGCCGAGTCCCCCCCAACACCGCCCGCGCGGCCGCATTTTGGACCAGCTGGAGCCTCCGGGTGCTCCTCAAGGGGAGCCCCATGTAGAGAGCATTACAAATAGTTTCAAATAGTTTCAGGCTAAAGGACTTGCAAGTTTTTTAAAAAACAATTTCCAGAATCCCTGATCAAGCTTTAGTGATTAAAAAAAATGGCTGCATTTGAATGAACTTTTTTTTCCTTTAGTTTCTTATGGACTCTTGTGTCCCACGGAACGCAGATTTAAAGTTTTACAGAAAGGACTTTTTATCACTTAAAAAGTCCCATTCTGCAATGCCCAATCTTGTGTAATCTTATTAAGCTTCAGATATGTGGGGAATGTTGGTGATTTTTCTGTAGAGAATATTTTTAAAAAGACCTACTTTTGACATTAGATTCCTGTGCATTCTTTTCCCTTTCAACCTCAGTATTCCTCTGTCAAAGTTTGTTCCAAATCAACATCCATTAACAGAAAACCTTTTTCTGCCTTAGGATTCTGACAACCCAGACCTACGTGATCGTGGCTACATTTACTGGCGACTCCTCTCCACAGACCCTGTCACTGCCAAAGAGGTGGTTTTGTCAGAGAAGCCCCTGATCTCTGAAGAGACAGACTTGATTGAGCCCACTCTGCTGGATGAGCTCATTTGCCACATTGGCTCGTTGGCATCAGTGTATCACAAACCACCCAATGCCTTTGTGGAAGGCAGCCATGGAATCCACCGCAAACACCTGCCCATCCATCACGGAAGGTGAGAGAGGCAGAGTGACTTTCTCGGTTATTTGCTTTAAAAAAAAGTCCATATATAGAAATATAACCCTGTCCTGATGCCCTTACAATTTTATGTGACCGGTTTGTAATACAAAATTTAAAAACAGACTCAACATTCACATGAACGTGGAAGCAATACAGGTAGTCCTCAACGTATGACCGCAAAAGTATCCATTCTGAAATAAGAAAGTTGTTAAGTGAATTTTGCCCCATTTTATAACTTCATTGCCACAGTTGTTAAGTGGATCGCTGCAGTTCGTCAGAAGGTTGCAAAAGGTGATCCTGTGACTTTGGGACACTGCAGTCTTCATAAATGCATGCCAGTTGCCAAGCGTCTGAATTTTGATCACGGGATCATGGAGATGCTGCAACATTTGTAAGTGTGAAAAACAGTCATGTCACTTTTTTTCGGTGCCATTATAACTTTAAATGGTCACTAAATTAATGGTTGTAAGTCGAGAACACGTGGGAAGAAAATTCATAAGCAGTCACATAATATCTTGCCAGAAAATGTGAGACATACAGGAAACATTGCCTGAATCAGGGTAGGTCATAAGCAATCACATCCATAAAGGAGGCCATAACGACCATAATGGAGCCTATCTTTTTTGCACTGGTTATTAAAGCAAACTGATGGTTTACTTTGGGTGCAGTTTTGCCCAAAACCAAACATAAATGCTGATTTTTGGCAAAACTTGTCGTAAAGCATGGTCATGTGACCGCAGGATGCCACAAACAGTAGCAAATGTAGAGCATCTGAAATGCAGTCACATGACCCAGGAGGGGGGGCAACTGTCAGAACTTTGAATCCAGGTTGTAAGGACCCCCAGATGGGGCCATCAGAACTTCAAACAATTGCTAAGAGACTGGTTGTAAGTCGAGGAGTATCTGTAATTTATTTATTGAATTTGTATGCCGCCCATCTCACCCTGCAAAGCAGCTCTGGGCAGGTTGCCAGAAAATGTGAGAATTTGCCTGGCCATGTTGACTGAATCAGGGTTGAGGAACTTGTGATCCAGAAGATCATGTTGCACTCCAATTCCTAATGGCCTAAATAATGGTGAGGAAACCTGGGAGTTGTAGTTTAGCAACCCCTGCAAGACCTCAAGTTTCCCTTGCTTATTTTGAGTGAAAGTTCTTCCCAAGCTATTTGGCAGGATATTAATTGCACAGCTGCCCTTGTTCTATCACAATGACCAAACGATGCTGTTTAAAATTTTCAGTCCGTTATTTAATATTGGATTTTATTTGCCCAGTGTTTTATTCTGTATTTCAACAGCCTTATATATTGGGTAGATATTTATGGAATTCACAATTTAAATACATAGCAATAGTTTGCCATCAAATTATTTTACAGTTCACACCCTCCCCCCTTGCTAGGGCTACTTTTACACGAATAGTTGCACTACAAAATCTGTTTAGAGCAGCTTGCAAGAGAAAGTCTTTTGTGTTGCTCTCTTCTTTGACAGTGAAACCAAGGAACTCTTTTTCCTTTCTCCCCTACCCGCCTCCCATGTCTTCAGTACTGATGCAGGAGACAGCCCTGTGGGAAACATGAGTGCTACAAACCTGGAGCAAACTCAGGTGATTCCGTCCCAAGGAGATCTCTTGGGTGACCTCTTGAACCTTGATCTGGGGCCTCCAGTGAATGTTCCCCAAGTGTCTTCCATGCAGATGGGTGCTGTGGACCTTTTAGGAGGTGGACTTGATAGCCTGGTGAGTAAGCATGACTTTTGCTGAACATGGACTAAAATTCTTAGTGATATATGTTGTTTAGTTCTATAGTACCCAAAACCAAGGCTGCTGGCAACCTTCTTTCCCTTTATGTTATTGGGATCCAAGTCACTACCACTTGGAGGAGGCAAAAATGTTTGTCTTCTTTTTGCTCCTTTTCTGCTTTGCAGATTACAAGTTATCAAGTTTACTATCTCCTTTACTTGCTTATTTGGGGTATTGCTTTATTTATTTGTTTCTTTGTTTGTTTCCTGCCTTTATTATCTTCACAAATACATAGAGAAGATCAAGAAAAATTAAACCACATTGTGGAAAATGTTTAAGAGGTTCATGGTCTAATCCCTGTGCATCAGCAGAAACAAGGAGTGTGGCTATGTCGTGTTTGTGTTTCTTGCTAGATGTTAGCAGAGAAAAGACAAGAAAAAATGCTTCTGATTTTTAGCATTAGGTACATGTATCACACAATATCTAGCATCACCCTTGGCAGTTTTGGTTCATTGTGTCAGTTCCTTATAACAATGAATTGTAACAGAGGCTGGTATTTGCATAACAGCTGGGAAGAGCAGGCATGGGATGCATAAGAACAAAACTAGGGCACAGTATAAACACATTACATGAAACCATAACATGAGTTGTTTATTGTGCATTAATTCATGGGTGAACTAGTTTTAAGAAAGAGACCATAGTTTATGAACCAAAATTGATCTATTAGCCCGTTTGGAACAAAAATCTCATACTCTTACCATAACATCCTTTTCTTTTTGTAACATTACTCAGCCTTGCTTTTAGGAATATGTGGTTTGTCCTTGCTAATGGTATATTGGACAGTGATGGTTGGATGACACTAGAAATCATTACCGTGGAGGCAGACTCTGGATTTGACATGTAAAATATTTGTTTCGTAATTTTTGACCCTCCATTAGCTTTTGCATATACTAGAATCTTTATAAACTAGATAATCAAAGATAATCAAGCAACGAATCAGGGAACACCTAGAGGCAAACAAAGTCATTGCCAAAATCCAACATGGGTTTGTCAAAAACAGATCATGCCAGACAAATCTTATTGCATTCTTTGACCAAGTGACAAAATTAGTGGATCAGAGGAATGCTGTGGATATAATTTACTTGGATTTCAGTAAGGCATTTGATAAAGTAGATCACAACCTATTACTTGATAAGATAGAAAAATGTGGGTTAGACAGCATCACCACCAGATGGATCCGTAGCTGGCTGACTGATTGTACTCAGCGTGTGGTCCTCAATGGAACCGCATCTACATGGAGGGAAGTGTGTAGTGGGGTACCCCAGGGCTCTGTTCTGGGCCCAGTGCTCTTCAACATCTTCATCAATGATTTGGACGAGGGGATAGATGGGGAACTCATCAGATTTGCAGACGACACCAAGCTGGCAGGAATAGCCAACACTCCAGAAGACAGGCCTAAAATACAGGAGGACCTGGACAGACTTGAACACTGGGTGCTAACAAAATGAAATTCAATGGTGAAAAAAGTAAGGTTCTACATTTAGGCAAGAAAAACCAAATGTACAGGTATAGTATAGGTGGTACCTTGCTCAATAGTAATCACTGTGAGAGGGATCTTGGAGTCCTAGTGGACAATCACTTAAATATGAGCCAGCAGTATGCTGCAGCTGCCCAAAAGGCCAACACAGTGCTAAGCTGCATTAACAGAGGGATAGAATCAAGATCACATGAAGTGTTAATACCACTTTACAATGCCTTGGTAAGGCCACACTTGGAATACTGCATCCAGTTTTGGTCACCACGATGTAAAAAAGATGTTGAGACTCTAGAAAGAGTACAGAGAAGAGCAACAAAGATGATTAGGGGACTGGAGGCTAAAGCATATAAGGAACAGCTGCTGGAATTGGGTATGTCTAGTTCAACGAAGAGAAGGACGAGGGGGACATGATAGCAATGTTCCAATATCTCAGGGGCTGCCACAAAGAAGAGGGAGTCAAGCTATTTTCCAAAGCACCTGAAGGCAGGACAAGAAGCAATGGATGGAAACTAACCAAAGAGAGAAGCAACCTAGAACTAAGGAGAAACTTCCTGACAATTAGAACAATTAACCAGTGGAACATCCTGCCTCCAAAAGCGGTGAATGGTCCAACACTGGAAGTTTTTAAGAAGAGACTGGACAGCCATTTGTCTGAAATGGTATAGGGTTTCCTGCCCGAGCAGGGGGTTGGACTAGATGACCTCCAAGGTCCCTTCCAACATAATAATAATAGTAGTAGTAGTAGTAGTAGTAGTAGTAGTAGTAGTAGTAATAATAATAATATGATTTAACTATAATAACTGTAGTAAATAAATGGAGTTACTATGTTCATTCTGAAAAGATAGACAGACAGACAGACAGACAGATAGATAGATAGATAGATAGAATGTGGCTCTCTTTTTAAAATAAATTTTACCGTTTATTGTATATAAAATCTTTCACAAGTCCAGCTGTCTGAAAAAAATCACTTATAGCCAATTAGAATGTTTTATGACTAGACTTTGAATTCATTGTCTATCTATGAATTGTGATTCATAGTCAGTAATTCAAACTACCTCACAAAGACTTTGGGTGTGTTTGGATTCCTGCAGTATGTCCTACAGAGGTAACCGAAGGATATCGTGCCCTTTTGTCTTCTACTTGCGCCTTGTCTGTTCAAAAAAAACACTTCACAGTACATCTGTGAGATCTGGGGGACCATTTTAGAGTTTGCCCCCATGACACATTCTGTCCAGAGATGTTGGGTTAGTGGAAAGAGATACATTCAGGGTAGTTCAAGGCAGCACCCTGATCGCTCATGGCAACTTAATAATAAAATTAATGGCTTAATACACAGACAATTCTTTAGTTAAACCTACTATTCCTGAGTCCTGCGGGAGAAGGGCGGTATAGAAATTAAAATAATAAATAAATATTCCATCAGTTAGCTGTGGCCTGGATACAAGATAGGTGATTGGTGTTTCTCAGGATTGGATAAAAAAACCTAATGACTTTCAATTCCCAACCCTCCTCTCCACTGCAACAAATGATAATCAACCCCTTCCACCACCACTAGGCAACCACAGTTAATTATGCATCTCCAAACATTTTATTGTACAGAGACCTAGGAATTTATTTGCATGTTTAGCACAATGTGAGATTTCCAACAAGCTGATAGTTAGTACCTAGTTTTATGATCTGGACCTTTCTGCATAGGCGTGGCAGTTCACATTGATGCTTGGATCCCCAGATTTAGCAAATTTAGTCTCATATCCACTGCATATGTATAGAATTGCTTGCGCTGTCCAGACCCTCTGCAGCAAGGCATTTTTGGGTAACCTTTAGCTCTCCAATAAAATCCAACTGTTTCTCGGAAAGTGAGCTAAGGTGTCTCAAACAAGCTTCCAACTGCTTGGGGGGCCCATGCTCCTGAGATTCTTAAGACTTTGAACACAACCTCAGGAATATCTGAGGTTTGGCTTCTGAATGACAGGACTTATATGCTCCATGTAATATTGCAAGATGTTGGCAACACCATAGCAAAGTTTGGCTCACTTTGATGTGGGTTTTCAGTGGAAACCAGGTCCATAAGGTTTTAGCAGATTTCTGGAATTAAGCCTTATAACATGGAACAAATCTGTTCTTGTCAAATGAACCCTCAGAGTAACTGATCCTCAACCTCAGCCCTTCTAGAGTGGCAGCAGAACCAATGAATACCAAACAAAAGAGCAAAAGGAGGAGGAATGCTAGGGGGAGTTTGCAACTTTGCACTTGTCAAGGTATCTGCAGTCTTCCTGGTGTTATACCTAGAAGCTGCCACCACCTCCATTGTGAGAATTTTTGAGGTCTGTGTTCTTTCATCCCTGATAAAAACTAAATTTGCATGCAGTCTCAAATGCCTCAGATAGCAGATTTAAAGTTCTTCTATAATTTGCCTCTATATGTCGGGGCAAGCATTTCTATTTCAGCCTGAATTTTTGAGGTGGTAGCTTTCAGATTTGAGTTATAATTGGTTTTGTTCAGGAGAAAGAGTTTCCCAGTCATAAGGGTTTCTACTTGCAGTTTGAAGTAGGTAAAATTCTAATCAAAGCTGGCCAGCATTTCTGGCTTTTGTGAGAAGGAGGTTTCGGAGTGTCAGGGTAACTGGAAGTAGCTTAAGGCAAGTTTAAGCTGAAAAGAATCTGAATACTTTACAAAAGAAGGAGCTTAGAGTCAAAAGTAGAAAATGCAGCCCACTAGAAGTGACAGATTCAAAGCCCCTAGCAGCTTCAGTCAGCACTGCTAAAAGGGGTTGTAGGAGTCGTGGTTCAGCACTTCCTGGAGACTGCATATTTCATCACTTCTGATTTATCCAACCAGCTATCTATGTACCATTTTGATCACAATCCAGTTCACCCTGATACTTGTGGAGTGGAACAAAGCAAAGCCTTGCTCATAAAAGATCCAGCCTTCTCTGTACTTTGCCAATTGTTCCCATCCAAAGAACAATACACTAAAAGGACCAGATATCTGGGATTCCCCATATATTTTTCAAACTTCAAATAAATTTACTTCTTGTCCCCTTTCACTTTGTCTCAGGATTGTTTTCTATGTTTATCTTATTTGGATATTGGCATTTTACGTAACCTCAATTTAGTCCGAAGCCATTCCAATCTGCAAGGAGTAGGAGGTCATTTGTGTAATTTAGGGACAATACTGTGGTTCTGTGGAGATGCACTACTGAAAATTACATTAGAGGTGTCAAAATGTCAGTTTTTAATATGAAACAGCTGCAGTGATCTGTTCAGAAAGCTGCCAGTGAAATCTCCATGCTAAAAAGAAAGCTGTTGACTTAGATCACTAAAAAGAAAATATTGGCATTTCACCTCTTCTTCTTGCCTAGTAAAATAGTAATAAATCCTATGAAATAATTAAAATTTAAAACCAGGAATTCAGATCCAAAGGGCTGAGGATGACCTGAATGTGGAGGGTGGGGGGAGATTTGCTTCCCTTTTGTGTTCAAATAAAAAAATAGCAGCAGCCCCTGTAATGCATTTCTGGCCCCCAGTCTGGAAATTTGAACATTTGGATATTATTTTAATTTAATTTGGAATTAAGCAGGAAGCCATTTCTCCTCTTATCTCTATCTCTATTACCACCACTAATCATCGGGGGGGGGGGGCTGATTTCAGCCTGTGTTGTTGTTGTTTTTTTAATTTTGTGGGGCAGAGATGAGCTTTAAGGTTGAAATTGGGAGCAAAAAGACTTTTGGATGCAAAGAATTTTGACTTCCAATGTTAAAACTCTTGAAATCAGGCCTAAAATGGTGATTTCAAACAATTTTTCAAGGGTTTTTTTGAGGACCAACTCCCATTCTCATCCTATCATCCCACAAAACATTCATAAAGGACTGAAAAATTCAACCCAGACTCTTCTTGTGATGTTACCGCATCACTTCCTTTGGCCTTCCAAAAACTTTGGAGCCTTACTTAAGGGTCTTCATCCCTTACACATTTGGTTACCCATGAGTTATAAAAGCCTCCACGAGTACAAGTACCTTTTAATTAGTGGAGGTACTGATAAAGATGCCATGCACAACTAAAGTATTTTATAAATGTTATAGACTGCAGGGCAACAAAATCATACACTGTGGAAAATAAGAAAAAGAGGCAGATGATTCTTTCAGGAATCAAGACTGGATATGGATGGTGAACAATCATATTTTAAAATATGGTGGGAGTGGAAGTTCTTTGACTTTGAGTATATGGTGAACATCACAAGGCCTCTTAAGGTTAGTGGGAGCCAAACATTGGTGCTGTATTAATCATTGACCATTGACTATCTCAAGGATAACAATAACAGCAGCAGCATCCAGAAATACCAAGTTATACAAAAATGACACCAAAACATATATATAAGTTGGGGCACTTCATTTGATTCTTGCACACCCAAAAGTCTTTCTGCTGCCTGCTCCCCATTGTAGGCACTCATATTACCCACTTTTTATTTTATTGACCTAAAAAGTATATAAATTGTAAATAGCCACAAATTCTTACTTTAAGTCCTGATCTAGGTTCTGGTTAAGGTACTAGACCAGACATGTCATACACAAGGCCCAGGGGCCGGATGCGGCCCGCGAAGTGGTTTCATGTGTCCCACGAAGCCATCCTGGAAACAGTGAGGGAACGGCCCCTGCTGCCTTGGCCCTGGCCCAGGCCGGCCGGGAGCCAATATACAATTTTGTGGTGGCCATCTATGCTGAAACACAATCAGTCTTAGCTCCACAAGGCCGTCTGGAAACAGCGAGGAACCAGCCCCTGCCGCGTCGGTCCCGCTCCCTGGGTGCATGCTGGGGAGGTGTCACCCTTTGTGAGGAATGAAGAAATGGACCATGCCTTGGCGCTTGCCCCGGTCCCAGCCCCTTCTGCCAGAGACCCTCAGATCTGTCCCAATCCTGCCCAGGCACCCTTGACCATGCCACCCAGTAGGCCACACCCACTCCATCCACACTCACCCAGTAGGCCGCACCCACCCTGGCCCTGGCCACACACCCCTGAGGGCAACCGCAATGCTGATGTGGCCCTCAATGAAACTGAGTTTGACACCCCTGTACTAGACCACAAACTTGCCAACAGGAGATTTCTCTCCTCCCCATTACATCATTTTGCAATTCCTGGGGGAGCAGTGTGTGTTTGTGTTTAAAAGAGAAGGAGCGAGGAAGTATAGGATTGTAAGAGCCAAGAAACCTTGATTTGTATCTTTCAAGGTTGGCTTCCCAGCCTGTGGCTCTTTTAATGAGATAAACTTGGCACAGGAGCTGATGAAAGCAGATAAAAACATCTGGCTCTATTATGTAGAATTATTCACAAGTTGTTTTGATGCTGCTTTATGTAAGAAGCTCACTTGCCAGCTGATGGGGAAACTGCTTCTCCCCCTTCCACTTGACTGGGAAACATTCCCCAGAGTACCAGAACTTCTCTGCCTCTTGCCTTGTTCAAAATGAGTCTGACAGGGGCTTTTGCTTTCCTTACCTTTGCTAGACAAGCCCTGCTTTTCCTGGCTATAACAGGAAAGGGGATAATAACCACCCATGATCACTTCTGCAAGAGGAAGTCATAATGGATGAGTATTCAAGCTATTATCCCACTCCAAAACTGTAGCGTTCCGACTGAAAGAGTGAGAGATCATCTGTTTTCCATCAAGCCATAACTGTCCTTCCATGAGTCTGACAGATTGCTGTCATTGTTTTAATGGGGTCTGAGAGCACAACTCTGTTTCTAAGACAGTGTCCTTTTCCTTCCCCATTGCAGCTTTTCACCAGGAATCAATAGCCCTTTCCTGTTAGTGGGCACCATTATGTAATCTTATATGGTGGTGTAGGTGCCAGAAGCTAATCGTAAAACATTTTTTTTTAATCTTAGAAAATCAATTAAAAAATTTAAGATGCCCCAGGTTTTATTAGGTCTTATGGGAAAACACTCATCTTGAAATATTTGCTAGTGTTTTAATACTTTAGTCAGTTCACTTAAAAAGAAATTATCTGAACAAATATGTGCAGGTGGACACAGTCTACTGTTCTGCAGGTGCTATGGCATGCAGAGATGCCACATTACCAATTCCTGCTATGGCATGCAGAGATGCCACATTACCAATTCCTGCTATGGCATGCAGAGATGCCACATTACCAATTCAAATCCTGTTCAAAGGAAATATATTGTATCAGTATGACATATTAGAATGGTCCTTGTTTGCTTGTATTTCAGCGGACATCCGAGGCTGTGTGAAAGTACATGCAATCTTTTGATTCCTTATCTTTTTGTTTTCTGAAGCCATTGCCTCTGAAAAAGAACAGCCAACTATAGTAAATTGTCCCCTTTTTCTACGTTTGACCTATTTCCCATTTTGTAGATTTAAGCATAAAAATCACAAATAGCTGATATTAGGCTAGAAAATGGGTCTCATAATGCTACAAAAAAAGTAGCCCAACCCCATATGCCAAATACAAATTTAATCAATCTTTGGGATTTTAATAATCTTCTAAATTAGTGTTTCTTAACCTTGGCAACTTGCATCTTAAAGAAATCACCACTTGTTTATTTAAAAGCAATGCAGAAATTGCTTGTTCCCTAAAATGTGAAAATGCTGCCTCCTTGATTTTGTTATAAAAATTATGAACTCAAAATTGAACAGTCTGATATACTATCATCTTGAATTGTAAGATTGCTTTTCACATTACAGCAGTTCTCATTTCTACTTGGTTACATTCTCCCCTTTGGAAGGAATAGGGGTAAATGTTTTATTCTTTGGGGGGGGGAAATATAGCGTTTATTAGGGTGGGTGGGTGGGTGTAACTTTCAGCAAGCATCTATGAGCAAAGCTAAATACATGTTCCATATCTTGAGTGCTTGGTTTTGTTCTGTTGGGTAATTGTTCAGAGAGCTGCCAGAAATAGAAAATCACATGATACCCATTCAAGCAACCTCCACTTTAGGGTGACAATGCTGTGCATATATGTCAGTTTATTTTTGGCCCAGCTTTTTGCTTTTGTGGACTCTTTGCTCTCAGAACATCAATGGGCTGCTGACGTTGGAGGCCAGGAACATTGGTGGGCAGGCAGGGAATGGCAAGAGGCTGCTGCTGAAACTGATCCACACAGGAATGGTGGTGAGCAAGGATGGCATGTTCAGAAGTGCTGTTCTTACCCACCCCATTCCCTTACCTCCATATTGCCTGTGCCTTGCAAGTATGAATAGGTGTACAAAGGCAAAGAAAGAGGACCACTAATACTGCTTCTTGAGTGCTGACAAAAGCCCTGGTTCATGGTAGGTCTGAGAAAAGTAACCATGGCTGTTTGTGAGGTTCCCTTCTCTAGGAACAGTGGGGACAAGGCTGAGGGCAATTTGGCTTTTTAAAAAGCAAGTTTTCAAGTTCACGCATATCTAGGTCATAACTGCTGCCTTCTGCTGCCCACAAGGCCTTGGTGCATATTCTTGTGCTTTCAACCAAATCCCACTTCCCTGCCTGTGGAATTTGGGGGTTTCAAATCTGTGGATTTCTCTGTCCTTCCTGGGTCAATAATCTCTCTGGGCAAACAGATGGGGGACAAGCGGTGTGCCAGGCCTTTTTGGGAACCACATGATCTTTATTTCTTGGCACCTGATAACTTGGCTGTAATGAATTCTTTCTCTTTCCCCTGCCTTTTCTCTTCCTTTTTTGCCTCTCTCTCTCTCTCTTCCTTTTTCTATTCTTTTCTTTCTTGCAGCTTGGCAGTGACCTTGGCGGGGGAATTGGAGGCAGCCCAGCAGTAAGTGCCCTCCATTCATTTTTTTTCCTTTTCAGTTCTGATTGACAAATTATTATTTATTGGTTGAATTTATATCCCATCTTTCCTTCAGGAAGAGTATTGGCACACATAGTATTTTCTCCATCAATTTTATTCTCACAACAGACCTATGAAGGCTTTGTAACCAGGCTTTATGTTGGCCAATATATTTCAGAATTAACTGGGGATTTGAAAACAGGATCTCCCATCCTGCAACTTTAACTACTAAAATGCAACAGGCTTTCACTCTGTAGCCTTCTTTTCCCATCCATTCTTCTAAAATCTGTGCAGCTGAAATAGCCCAATGTTAGACATTCTCAACATGTTCTCTGTATTAAAGCAGACAACCATCTAAAACACTGAAATAGTAGAAAGAAAATAAAAGACAATTTGGTAGCAAGCTTGACTTGTAGAATAGTCAAGAAATTTGGAGCTCTGTTACGGGGGAGATGTGAGATCACAATATATTTTTCCATGTGAAGTAGATGCATCATTGCTTGCTTGTAGGAAAAAAAAATAGAAAAACAAGGAAAACAAGCTAAAGAATGCCCAGGGTTTGTGCCAGATACCAGAGTCATTTATAAAAACCTACTTTCAGGTTTGGCTTGGTCCCAGAGCTCCATAAACCTATAAATGGAAAACATAAGGCTTCCAGAGCCCCAGCCATTGGTGAGAAATTCCAGACAATTTTAAAGTCATTGGATGAACTAGAACTGGTCAACTCATATTCCTAATTTCCAAGAGTCATCAATAGCTGTGGATTACTATTGTCCTTGGAGCAAAGAGTTTCTCTTCCAATTCTCTTAAAATGGACTTGAGGGCCTTGGGACTTCTGGATGATCAGAGGATCCATTTTGAAAGCACCAGGTTTGAACCCATTTCACTGCATGGTTGCTGAGGGCTTGGTTATGACTGAGAATTCCTTACGGAGAGTTCACTCACCATCGTACGTTACAGTTCCTCATCTTTAACTGATGCGGAAGTTGAATGTCCTTGCCTTCACTCTTCAAAGACTTTTGGAGAAGAGAGGTTCGCGGTTAGTGGCTGCTTCAGTCATGTAGTGATGCATAGAGGAGTGGGGGTTTAAAGCAGAGAGCATACCAGCATGTCAATTTAGTACCCTTGATCCTTCAGCAAGATGCTAGGAACAGGTTGTAAAATATTCAGAATATTGTCCAATTTTATGTTTTATTTAATATAGGTGTTTAAATGTCATCTCTGATTGCTTGCAGGTGGGGCAGACCTTCATCCCATCATCAGTCCCAGCAACATTTGCTCCCTCACCTACCCCAGCTGCAGTCAGCAGTGGACTGAATGACCTCTTTGAACTCTCTTCCGGCATCGGCATGGCACCTGGTGGATATGTGGCTCCCAAGTCGGTATGTGTGAGGAAACATGGCCAGACAGCTGTTTCCTTTTGCCAAGGTTGTCTCTTCATCAGGTTGTTTTGTTTTTTGGCATGCCTCTCTTTTGTGTTTCACGCTGACTTTGTTTCTGGATGAACAACGGTGCCTTTTGCTCTGTTTGGCCTGGCAAACTTCTGCACCCATTATTAGAGAATGCGTATCTTATTTTATTTAACTGATTAATTGAATAAGCATTTTATACTGCCATAATTTCTAACGATTTAATTCCAGATCTGGTACCTTTTCCTTTTCCCAAAGCTTTAACTAGATTCTCAAACCACTCTGGAAATCTCTACCAAATTGAAATGTTCAATGTGATATAAAATTGAGTGTATTTGCTAAATGAATCAATGCCATTTCAGTCCCATACCCTAATCCTGACTGAAAGGGATCTGTTTCCTCCCCTGAAACTGTAGTGACCACCTTCTTCATAACCTTCCACTAAAAGAGAAGATTGGAGAGTAGATAAAAATTGTCCAATTCCACTGAGTCTAGTGAGCACTTCTTGAGGAGGGAGTTAACCACTGCAGATGGAGGAGCAACCCCCCCCCTGCTTCTTTAAGAATTCACAATTAAAACTCAGCTGCACATCACCTCCCAGGAGCCTTTAGCTTACTTTACTTAGATTATATTATAATGAATATCTTTGAATAAGTTTCCATCAAATTCATTTAGTACCACAGTGAAAAGTTTTAAGTGAAACTAGGATGGTGGTTCTGTTTATTTTGTTATGGTGTGCAGTATGCTGGCTGGGGAATTCTGGAAGCTGAAGTCCACACGTCTTCAGGTTGCCAAGTTGCCAATTACAGCATGCTATTTCCTCTTTAAATTCCCTTCTTGTACTGCCAATTTATTGGGAACACTGTTCAAAATGCTGTAATGGATTTTGAGACGTTTCCTCTCCAGCTTTTCTAAATCAGCTGGAAAGAATCTACACTACCATCTGAGATTCAATCATCATTATATACCGATAAATAAAAAGGTTTGAAGTGGATAGGCCGAATAGGTCACTCAACAGTACTGCCTATCATGATAAAGAAATCTCACTGAAATTATTCTGACACTTTATGAGGCCATGTTTGCTTGCTCTAATTGCCAGTCCTCTTCACTTTATAGGTCTGGTTGCCGGCTGTGAAAGCCAAAGGCCTGGAAATTTCTGGAACCTTTGGCCATCGGCAAGGACATATCTACATGGATATGAGTTTCATCAACAAGGCTCTTCAACACATGAGTGACTTTGCCATTCAGTTCAACAAGAACAGGTTAGTCCTTGAAGTCAACTAAACACACTTTTTTGTTGCACGCTTTATCTTTCTTGGCTTCTCTGTTGAATGTTACACCTTCTTTCGTCTCTCTCCTCCCCAATCATCCAGCTTTGGAGTCATCCCCAGCACCCCACTGGCCATTCACACTCCTCTGATGCCAAATCAAAGCATTGATGTTTCGCTTCCTCTCAACACTTTGGGCCCAGTCATGAAAATGGAACCTCTGAACAATCTTCAGGTAGGAACACTGGGTTTGGGGAGATAGAGGAGATTTGCATAAAATAATAATAACAACAACAACAACAACAACGTTGGAAGGGACCTTGGAGGTCATCTAGTCCAACCCCCTGCTCAGGCAGGAAACCCTATACCATTTCAACAAATGGCTGTCCAGTCTCTTCTTAAAAACTTCCAATGTTGGAGCCTTCATAGCTTCGGTGGGGCAGGTTGTTCCACTGGTTAATTGTTCTAACTGTCAGGAAATTTCTCCTTAGTTCTAGGTTGCTTCTCTTTTTGGTTAGTTTCCATCCGTTGCTTCTTGTCCTGCCTTCAGGTGCTTTGGAGAATAGTGTGACTCCCTCTTCTTTGTGGCAGCCCCTGAGATATTGGAATACTGTTATCATGTCACCCCTTGTCCTTCTCTTCATTAAACTAGATATATCCAATTCCTTATATGTTTTAGCCTCCAGTCCCCTGATAATCTTTGTTGCTCTTCTGTGTACTCTTTCTAGAGTCTCAAAATCTTTTTTACATCATGGTGATCAAAACTGGATGCAGTATTCCAAGTGTGGCCTTACCAAGGCATTGTAAAGTGGCATTAACACTTCATGTGATCTTGATTCTATCCCTCTCTTAATGCAGCCTAGCACTGTGCTGGCTTTTTTTGGCAGCTGCAGCACACTGCTGGCTCATATTTAAGTGATTGTCCACTAGGACTCCAAGATCCCTCTCACAGTTGCTACTGTTGAGCAAGGTACCACCTATACTATACCTGTGCATTTGGTTTTTCTTGCCAAAATGTAGAGCCTTACTTTTTTCACCATTGAATTTCATTTTGTTAGATAGCGCCCAATGTTCAAGTCTGTCAAGATCCTTCTGGAGTGTTGGCTATTCCTGCCAGCTTACTGTCGTCTGCAAATTTGCTTGGTGTCGTCTGCAAATTTGTGGAGTTCCCCATTTATCCCCTCATCCAAATCATTGATGAAGATGTTGAAGAGCACTGGGCCCAGACAGAGCCATGGGGTACCCCACTACACACTTCCCTCCATGTAGATGCAGTTCCCTTGAGGACCACACCCTGACTATGGCCAGTCAGCCAGCTACAAATCCATCTGGTGGTGATGCTGTCTAACCCACATTTTTCTATCTTATCAAGTAGTAGGTTGTGGTCTACTTTATCAAATGCCTTACTGAAGTCCAAGTAAATTATATCCACAGCATTCCTCTGGTGTACTAATTTTGTCACCTGGTCAAATAATGCAATAAGATTTGTCTGGCATGATCTGTTTTTGACAAACCCATATTGGCTTTTGGTAATGACTTTGTTTGCCTCTAGGTGATCACTGATTCATTGCTTGATTATCTTTTCCTAGATCTTCCCAGGTATTGAGGTCAGGCTGGTAGGTCTGTAGTTTCCTGGATCCATTTCCCCCCCCCCACTTTTTTTTTTGAAGATGGGAACTACATCAGCTCTTTTCCAGACCTCTGGTAGTTCCCCAGTGCTCCAGGATGTTTGAAATATATAATCTAGTGGTTCTGAGATCACATCTGCCAGTTCCTTCAGAATCTTGGGGTGTAGTCCATCTGGTTCTGGTGATTTTAATACAAATTAAAATTAAGAGTTAGGGGTGGAAGCAAGAGTGGCTGAATAGTCAAGAAACTGTCAAATGATGTGGTGATGGAAGGTTTTTTTCTTATAAAACAAGAAGCTGTTGTTGGTACAAAACAATTTAGCTTCAGGCAAACTGCAGTTCAGACAAATAAAATAAAGCAATTTGGTGTATCACATATAAATACTTTCTGGACTTCATTATAGTAATGATCAGTATATGAAAGGGCTTTTAAAAATTAGATATTCTGGTTAATTTACCTAATTTTATATTAGAATTTTCTTAAAATATGCAGTTTGGTGTTGCATGATGCTATGATATAAGGATTGGGTCTGCATATCATCTAAACCAAAAACAGATTGTATTGTGACTTAGCTTCTGAGATGACTGAATTTTATGGGCAGATAGGGGTTACATATTCTCCTGTGCAACATTTCTGAAAACTGGTGGGTTTTATTTATTCATTCATTTATTTATTTATATTTATGTATTCATTTATTAATTATTCAGTTTGTATGGCTGCCCATCTCAGTGACTCTTGGCAGCGAACGATCTTAAAAGAAATTAAAAACAAAGTTCCAATTTGCTCTGCCCATTCCACATCTTTGCCTTAACTAAGCAACAGGCTCCCGAGTTGATTCTGGTACTGTAATAAATAATAGCCTTCTACACAATGGTTTCTATTCCAGTATACAGGCAAACTGTGACTCCTTCACTTCTCTTCCCCCTCCCAGCACTCCTCTAATAATCTTCCCATGGTATCCCCAACAGGGAAGCTTATTAACCATAAAAAGCACCATTTTCTTCAGCAGTTCTGTCCTGTGTGTTATGAATGATAGGCAGCTAGAAATAGTGCTGCCTTGATGTGGAAGCTCCCAGTTGGGGTTGAGAACAAGAGAGATGCAGTGTGTAGTTGCTTTTACAGAGGCAGGGAGTTTGTGAGCCAGAAACATCTTAACTGGGAAAATAAAAACATAAAACAGCCTCCAGTTTCAGCTTGTTTACCTCTCTATATATTCAGACCAAGTGAATATTTTTACTTACTCATTTAACATGAGTGCTCTTCTGGTTTTATTTTTAGAAACCCAACAGATTAAATGTTATCTACATATCCTCCATATTCAGAAACATTCTATCTCCAGTTGTTACTGGAGAAGAAGATAGCAGGAGGGTATTTTTTTAAGGCTGTGTAGATTTAATAAAGGCTTCTAACAAGGAACTGGATGGTGGGCTGCAGAGCCTTCAGTCTGAGCCCATAGATGAACTCTTAGATTTGTGTTTATTTTGTCACATAAAATCTGACTATTTATAAACTTAACCAAACACTTACATAGCAGGTGCCTTCAAAGATGCTATGGGTGAAAACTCTTTGTAATCAAATAATATTTGGGACCTTTGGTCAAAGCCTGGAAGACTTCCAGGCAGAGCATATTCCAAAGTGCGGGGCTATCACTGAAAAGTACCGACTCTTTAGTACGTACCCCCTGCGCTTCACAGCTTTTGAGACTATATTTGGATTCATGCTTGGCAAGACAGCCTATGATGTATCCCTACTATGCAGTATTGGGCCTAAGAGATGATCGCCTGTAGGTTGAATTGGGGCTGGAATCTTACTGACAGTGTAGTGACCTCAAATTAAGGAAGTCCTTGACTTACAACCGCAAATGGGACCGGAACCTCCATCACTAAGTGATATGGTTGTTGAAGTGAGTAATCGCGTGACCCTGTCCAATTTTACAACCTTTTTTGCTACATCCGTTAAGCAAATCCAGCTTTTCTCATTTGCTTGTTGGAAGCCAGTTGGGAAGGTTGCAAATGGCAATCCCATGACCCTGGGTGCTGCAGCTTTCATAAATGCATGCTAATTGCCAAGCATCCAACTTGCGATCATATGACTACAGGGATGCTGCAGTGGTCATAAGTGTGAGGGCCTGTTGTAAGTCATTCTTTTCAATGCCACTGTGACATTGAAAGGTCACTAAACAAATGGCCACAAATCAAGGACTACCTATAGGGAGTAATTCTACAGTATCCAGTTTCTCCAACTGAAAGTCTGACAAGTATTCCCTGCAAGTTGCAGCTTGCAGTTCATTTTCAAAGCAGTCTAATAATATGGCAATCAGGGCTTCCTGATGTAAGGATGACCACAACTGGCACATCAGCCACAAGTAGACACAAAGACTTCTCTGGCTACAGCTTCCACTGCCCACGAAGATCCCCAGTTCATAAATCAGTGCTTTCAGGGGAAGCATGACTCCCATCAAGATTGCCCACGTGGGAGATGTTTCCAGATAGATCAGCTACTTTTGCAGAAACAGCAACTCTACTTGGTAGGTTATATTCCCTCTCTCCCCCCCCCCCCCCATTCAGTCCCAGGATATAAGTAAATGAATTAGAAATAAATGTGACAGAGCTGTCTTCCTTAGTGGAGTAGTATGAAAGCAGGGGAAGTTTTCAGTAAGAATTTGGATGGAGCCCAAATATATCCATTATGGTGATTTGTTTCCTTAGGTGTTACGCTATTTATCTGAAGATGTTGCAAGCAGATACAGAAGTTAAAACCAAGCCACATGCTGGTTTAGCTGACTGTGTCTCTCCAGGAGGTCCTTGTTCAGGAATTCTGTGTTTTGGATGGAATTAGTTGCTGTCAAGCAGAAGAACTCAGAAATGTCATTGTTACTGAAGAATCTGTTAATGATAGAAGAATTTTCTGTTCCCATTTGTCTTTTTTTTTTTTTAATCCCCTCTGAAAAAGCAGCATGTGCATGTAGCTGATTCAGCTTCAAGAGAATTAACATGTGCAGAAGCAATTCTGTGGAAAGGAATGTAGATATTTAAATATTTTATCCCTTTTGCCCTTTTTCTACTCTCTTCCTTCCTCCTCATTTTCTTGCCATTCTTTATTATCACTGGGCAGATCTGGGATGGGAAAGCAACACCACAAGGTTTGTATTGCCCTTCATGATGTCCTTGGCATTATTCACATGTTCTGCATTAGAGCTGGATTGAATTAATGTGACATGATATTTCTTGAATGTCCATCCATCCCCTCATTCTAGCAATAATATGGAAGATATTCTTCGTGATAGACTTTCTGGTCTTCCAATGATGTACCCATCAGCAGTGTAACTGAATCCATCCAGTTGGTGCCTAAAAGAGAGGAGCAGGAAATGCAGTGTTTTCATGCAGTAGTCATCACAGAGAGATTTGCATGTAGCTGGCTGCGGCATCCCATTGGAAGAAAATACAAGAAACTATTGTCTTAGTTTCTTTCTCTGGCAAAACAAGTACTAGATAGATGAGGGATATTAAAACTATTCTCAGAGCATATAAGAATTCCTTGGAAACTAGTCTAGTTTACTTTTTGTAATATTATGGCTGTAGACCACTCAAAACACAATCTTATGGTACATCCAATACTTATAAGTTACTCTTGTTTATGACAGGATAATAGTTGAACTCCATCCCTGTGGAAATTTCCTGGCTCCTTGCTTTCAGTTTTTTAAAGTATAGTAGTAAGTTGGCTTACCAACTTGTTAATAAAGTTGGAAAAAGCAAAGTCATAATTGAAAAGTGGAAAATAATGCCATTCAAATTCAGTAACAGAGAATCAACAGACAGTTGATTTGTTACTCATAACAAATGAGTGTGTTGTATCTTTACTCAAAATTAAGGGAAACTAAAATCTAGAAAAATAATGTAATTAGAAGTCTGACATTAAAAATGCATTGGACAATCTTAAATAAAACTAAATAATAATAATAATAATAATAATAATAATAATAATAATAATAATAATAATAATAATAAAGTTGGAAGGGACCTTGGAGGTAATCTTGTCCAACCCCCTGCTCAGGCAGGAAACCCTATACCATTTCGGACAAATGGCTGTCCAACCTCTTCTTAAAAACTTCCAGTGTTGGAGCATTCACCGCTTCTGGAGGCAAGTTGTTCCACTGGTTAATTGTTCTAAACTGTCAGGAAGTTTCTCCTTAGTTCTAGGTTGCTTCTCTCCTTGACTAGTTTCCACCCGTTGCTCCTTGTCCTGCCTTCAGGCGCCTTGGAAAATAGCTTCAGTCCCTCTTCTTTGTGGCAGCCCCTGAGATATTGGAATACTGCTATCATGTCCCCCCTCGTCCTTCTCTTTGTTAAACTAGATATACCTAATTCCAGCAGCCGTTCCTTATATGCTTTAGCTTCCAGTCCCCTAATCATCTTTGTTGCTCTTCTCTCTACTCTTTCTAGAGTCTCAACATCTTTTTTACATCGCGGTGACCAAAACTGGATGCAGTATTCCAAGTGTGGCCTTACCAAGGCATTGTAAAGTGGTATTAATACTTCACGTGATCTTGATTCTATCCCTCTGTTAATGCAGCCCAGCACTGTGTTGGCCTTTTTGTTGATCCCAAACAATTAAAGCTGTAAAAACTTTTTAATAGTGACATTTTAGGTCCAATATTAAAAATATTTACACTAATCTTATTCTGATTTTAAAGATGTAGTAGTTGCTTTCTAATGCTTTATCCCTTCATCTTTTATAACTCATCTTGCAAATCTGTTGTCTAAGGATTCTAAGATTCAGTCTCCAAAATAATAATATCCTGAAGATCTTGCCATAATAGACTTCTGTGCAGGATCTTGCAAACCTAGACTTCTGTGCAGGATTGTTCAGGATTTCCTTGGCAATTGCCTTTAGGCAGGAAAAGCTTCTGGATAGCAGACACTTTGAAAACTATTGAGACATGTTTGATTAAAGCAGTCAAAAGGGATAAAAAGCTGTTCTTGAAAGCTCTTGTGAAGCACTTGGCAATTTGAACATGAGCTCATGGGGCAACAAAAGGTCTCTTAGGGAGAGTGGCTTAGAGCTGATTGTAGCATGTAAGGCTGGATGTACAAATCTACCTTGTCACTTAGTTACATTTACTTAACAAAGAGTTGCATGGGGAATGAAACAATATCTTGGGTTTTAAACCTCTTGACTCAGTATATCTTTTGCATTGCTTTTCGTGTATAATTCTGCCTATTCCACAATGCTTTTTCTAGACCAGTGTTTCTCAATTTCAGCAGCTTTAAGATGTGTACACTTCAACTCCCAGAGTTCCCTCAACACAATGGATGGCTTGGGAATTCTGGGGAATGAAGTGCACACATAGCAAGAGCACTTAGACTTATATACCATTTCATAGTGCTTCACAGCCCTCTCTAAGTGGTTTACCAGAGTCAGCAAATTGCCTCCAATAAATTGCCCCTCACATTTTACTGACCTTGGAAAGATGAAAGACCAAGTCAACCTTGAGCCAGTCAAGATTGAACTACTGGTGGTCAGCAGAGTTAGCCTGCAATACTTCATTCTAACCACTGCACCACCATGGCTCTCTGCTGTGCCACCATGGCCACATGTTGAAACCACTGCACCATCACGGCTCTCTGCTGTGCCGCCACGGCCACATGTTAAAGTTGCTGAGATTGAAGAACACTGCTCTAGACTACTTACAGATATTTTCAAGCCCCCTTACTGCCTGGCTTTCCATTGAGAATGACATAGTTGCAATCAAAAGCAGAACAGCTTAAACTCGATTTGAGGCAGGTTCGCTAAAATCATGGTGAAATCATTGTCAGTACTGATATTGGCAGAGCTATTAAATCCATAGTGTATATCAAGTTGATGGTGTAATGACTTTTTTTGGCAGTATAATTTTTCAGGTTTCTAGTTGTAAAGCTCAAAATGACTGTAAATGTATATTTTGTGTACTACGACTACCAAATTGAAAGTGTGGTTGAGCTGAAAACCTTGGTCTCCCTATTCCAGTGTTGTCACCATATCATTCTTTCTGTCACTGTCCGAAGCCTAAATAGTTAATTAAAATACATCTTGAAGGAAAAACCTGCATGGCCCTACCTTAAACAGGTTCAGATTTACCAGCTTTCTTTTAGTCTGCAGGAGAATATTTTTGCCCTGTCTCTTAGCCGAGACTCAGAGAAAATGGATGCATTCAGAAGCAGCCAGAAAAGAACCAACTTGGAGCCTCCATGAAGGAATTAATTAGCAGGCTGTGCTAACTGATTCCAAATAAATCCTGACATACTGATTTAGGATTATTTGAAAAATAAACATTGTTTTCCTTCTACTTGTCTTCCAATCATGTCTGAATGCCAGGTTCTTCTCTTTCTATTCCTGCTGGGTGCCCAGAACACTCATCAATGGCAAGGAACAGAAAACTTCTGATGCCAATTTAGACATCCTGTCAAAGACCTTGAGGTTGGAAAAGATATAGACGAGCTTTCTCTCAGCACTTCCAGATTCAATCCTTACAAAATCCTGGCTGGCATTCTGAATATTTGTTCTTAATCCTCTTCCAAGCTGGAGATCTTGGATTTAATTATGCAGCCATTGCTAAATACATGTGATAATGCTGAATATGCTGATGCTCTTCAGCCCCTCTGCCCAATTCAGGATGATCTTCTAAAATGCGCTCACGTGTAAATGTGGTTTTCTCAGGTCAGAATTAATAACTCTTAAGTTAATTCTGATACAGGTTACAGAGCAAATGTCAAGTAATAGATTATGACAGTTACCTAAATGTCATCTGGCAACATTCCTTGCCTTACAACTGGGAAGTGAGAAAGCTAAGTCTGCTTTTCTTTTCTTTTCTTTTCTTTTTTTTAGTATTTTAAAATTCTTTAGCTCCAAATACTTGCCCAGATTCCAGACATTTTTTCTAACTTTGGCATTTTAAAGAATGTATGATTGTTTGTGTGTATATTCATACAAACAACATAAAATGCAAGTCCCTTTTTAATGTACTTGAGAGTATCTGAGGAAATGGATCATCACGTAAGACCTATATGTATAGAAGGGTTTCTGCAGCAAGCAAGTAAGCATGGGGTTTAATTGCTCTGAATTATTTGAACGAAATAATAGCAGTGCTTGGCTGTGAAAGTTGGACCATAAGAAAGGCTGAGCGCAAAAGAATTGAGGCCTTTGAACTATGGTGCTGGAGAAGAGTCCTGCGAGTCCCCTGGACTGCAAGGCAATCAAACCGGTCAGTCCTAGAGGAGATCAACCCTGACTGCTCTTTAGAAGACCAGATCCTGAAGTTGAAACTCAAGTACTTTGGCCACCTAATGAGAAGGAAGGACTCACTGGAGGAGAGCCTAATTTTGGGAAAGATTGAGGGCAATAGAAGAAGGGGACGACAGAGAATGAGGTGGCTGGATGGAGTCACTGAAGTAGTAGACGTGAGCTTAAATGGACTCCAGAAGATGGTAGAGGACAGGAAGGCCTGGAGGAACATTGTCCATGGGGTCGCGATGGGTCGGACACGACTTCGCAACTAACAACAACAACAACAAATAGTGCTATTCTTTGAGGGACTGGCCTTCCCTACCAGGAAGGGGTTTTGTATTCTTATTTATTTATTTATGCCATACTGACATTTTTAAAATCCTTTTAGGAATTAGGATGGAGAAATTGTCTTTTTTTCTTTTAAAAAATAGCAAATTTGTTTTTCTCTTTTGGGGCAGGTGGCTGTAAAGAACAACATTGATGTTTTTTACTTCAGCTGTCTTATTCCCCTCAATGTGCTTTTCGTAGAAGATGGCAAAATGGGTAAGTGGTATATCTGGTTACTAATAGGCCCTGAAGGAATTAAAGGGAGGAATAGGATAGGACAGGGAGGAATGGAAGAACAGTCACTCTCCTAGTAAAGGACAAACAATAAATGAAGTAATGAAGTAATACAGCATTTGCTATGTGGACCTACAGAGTCCAAACTGGTTTTCCCCAATCAAGGAAATATGGCCTTCATCTCCCAAAATTCCTCCATCAATATGGCCACTGACCATTGAAGTCCTACGCTGCTTGTCCACAATGAGAATGTTGATTTCTGAATGCTATTTCACCATATACTTTTTAAATTACTCTTTAAAATTGTTTCAATACATACTCCAAATCAGTCTGCCCTTTTACTCCTACAATAATTGGGCTAAGTGGAGGCAGGATATTTGGATCTGAAAAACTTTATTTTCACTCCTGCCCAATTTTGGCTAGGATGAGAGCAATCTCTTCTCCCAGGTCCCATCTTCAGATTATAATTCATCAGGGGAAGACACGGAGGACTTCATTTATATTATATACATTTTCATGGCCGCTCAATTGACCTGCGACTCCTGATGGCTAGGAATCCATAAAAAACAGAACAAATGTTAAAAATAAATTATGGATTTGTTTATTTGTATCCTGCCTTTATTATTTTTACAAATAAGATGGCAAATATATCCAACACACCTTCCTCCTCCTATTGTCCCCACAACAACAACCCTGTGAGATGAGTTGGGTTGAGAAACGGTGACTGGTCCAGCTGGCTTTCATGTCTAAAGCGGGATTAGAACTCAATTTCATGCTTTGTGGTCTGGTGCCTTAATCACTAGACCAAACAGGCTCTCATTAAGCTAAAAAAAAACCAATATCTCTGGATGAAAGCCAAATAACAATGACATACAGGAAGTCCTCAACTTAGCAATTGTTCAAAGTTACTATAGATTTCTCCCCCCCCCCCCCCCGCAAAGCTAATTACAACCCAGTTTCAAAATTATAGCTGCTGCAGCACAAGTACAACATTTGGGTATATTCACCCTATGACCAGCCATATCACATCCCATCAGGTCCCCACAGGCCTTTTCCACTCTATACTCTCCTCCCAAAGCCCTACCCCTGTCATCACTCACTTTCCTTTTGTAGATCTCTGGAACTCCAGAGCTTGTGTTGGAGAAAGGAAGCAAGCCACTTCATTCCTCAACTGCATGGTGCCATCTCATGAATTGTGGCCACTTCAAAAATGGCCCTCTGAAGGGATACTGAGGGGTGGAACAGTCTGTTCCCCTTCCCCAATGCAATCTCTGGAGATCTACAAAAGATATGCTGGAAGAGAGTGCTCTTGTTAATATTTGGGATGCTGCATAAATCTTCATTTAGCCCTAAAAGTGTGTGTATGTGGGGGATGGAGTCTCAAACAACTGTAGAAATATGGAAAACTCAGTTTTATAGTTTCTAATCCTGTAGAACGCCAAGTTTTCCTCGCAACATGGAAAGACATCCCAAATGAAAATGAACTTCAGTTCCAAATTAAAGAATGTCATCTGAATGCTGGTAAGTTGAATTTTTTCCCCTCAAAAATATCTCTATAGCTTTGCCTAAAACTGCCAGTTTTGATTTTTAACTCATGATTTGGCATGAAAATAGCTGCTCTTTGGGTTTGGTGTAGCACTTCCTATGTCTCATGTTCAACATGACTTTTATGTCACATTGTGCCCCATGGATATGGATTGATTCCAGTGGGAGTTTCCTAGTGATTTGGGAGGGGGGGGTTGGGGGCAGTTCCTTTGGTTCTCTGGTTGACCACTGGCAACAATAGGTGATCCAAGCTCCTGACAAGATCATGCTCAACCAGACTTTTTTTGTTCCTCAATCATGGGTAGCTCCTCAAGAGGTGCAGCTCTAGAAGTTATACCTAAAGAGCAGGTAGAGAAAGATGATTAAAAAAATGATACAAATTCAAGTTTGAACCTATATCATATCAGTAAGGCAGGTGAGTATATATAATAATAATAATAAAATTTCTTCTCCCTTAATTGCGTTATTGGGATGCAATCCAGCAGCCTATTTAGGATTGAAAACTTCCTGTTGGAGATAGTTGAGTAGGAAGATCTCCTGCTGGGCTGTGATTATTGTGCACAACACTTTCATAAAGTCCCTCAGATTTGTCAGAGCCTTGAAGTCTAATGTAATGATTAGAATGTTATCTTGTGTCATTAACTGAGTTTCTTTTTGGCCTGTGGATTCCAATTGGTGGATAGAGTTAATATAACTTTTGCCACCTGTGCTATGAGTCCATGTCTCTCCTGGTTCTTTAGGAGGCAGGGGAATGTGTCAAGGTTGCAGCCTTGAAAGAGGCTGTGATACTCCTACTCCTCAAGAGGCCTTCCTTGTATTCAGCCATATTGGACAACTGTAAACCTGTCAGCCTTTCCCTGGAAAGTCAGCTGCAAAGGACTCTAGGGAAAATGCATTATCTGAATCATTTCAGGCCATGGGCATGTGACTGAAATGGCATTGGTTACACTGGTAAATGACTTGTTGGAACCTGAGTGGGGGAAAGCATCTTTTCCTGTCCTATTACACTTCTCAGTGGCTTTCAATATTATTGATTATGATATCCTACTGGACCACTTGCTTGGGTTGAAGATGGAGGTAGTTTTGCAATGGCTCAATTGGTTCAGTTCAGTGGCCACACATCTGATGTGTCACAGAGTTCAGGTTTTCACCCCTATTATTTATGATCTGGGAGAGATCATACTTCTGTTCAGGATGCAGTAACATCAATGTGTTCAATTGTACATTAACCACCCCATGCTGGTTCAGTGATGCGGTGCTGGTCTTGTCTCGGTGTCAGGAGAATGAGAGAGTCTGGATGGGAAATAATAAACTGAAGTTAAATATTAGCAAGATGGAATCACTCTTGATCCGTGATGATTCCTCTTGTCTCTCAAAAGGAAGACCACCCCTGGGAGACCAGATTTGAGACTTGGATAATATCCTAGGTAGGGGTAGAATGAGTAAGTGAAGGTAGTGTCCAGGAGGACCTTCACCTAGTTTCTTCATCAACTGCACTCTTATCTAGGCCATAATGATCTTATTACAGTAATACATGTCCCCATTGCTACCTGTCTAAACTGCAATGTATTCTAAAATAGTGAGAAACTGCAATAAGTGCAAAATGCATCTGATCATAGACTGACACATTGTAGCTGTCAGAATGTATAACATCAGTGTTGCCTGTCCTACATTGTCTTTATGTAGGTTTTGATGTGCAATTCAAACTGATGATTTTGATCGATATCTCTTGGCATGTAGTTGCTTATTGGACCACCTGTTTCAACCAGAATTAGCTCACCTGATCAGAAGTTCCCAGAAAAGCTGTTAATTGTTCCCTACTTCCATGAAATGAGGGGAGCTGGGGACAGGAATGGCTGTTGTATTGTTGCAGCACCAGCCCTGTGGAATGATTTCTGTTCACACTGAGCCTCTGTGATCTCTATTCTCTACCACTAAGCCACCCTGGGTTTGAGTGGGAGGGGGAGGGCAGAGAAAGGCATGCAGTGGAGACACAACTTGTGAGAGGATGAGATAAGGGTTCAGGGATGTCAATACCACACTGATTCTTGGTGCCTACAAGCTTTCTGTCTCACCTGATTTCTTGTGTATATTTTAATTCTAAGATGTGCAAAATTGGGACGTTTGAAAGTAAGGCACTAACCTCCCACATCATCTCTATTTCCAAGTTTATTTTTGCTTTCTAAAACAGTTTCTGCAACCAGTGAGCTCCAAATAGTTTCTCAGAAAATAAAAATCGGAGCTATAGCACAGCACTTTATTTGTAAGTACGTCCACCTGATTAGACAAAAGGAGAAAGATAAGCAGAATGAGCAATATCTTCTGGAAATGGAAGGTTTTATGAGGTGGCAAGTGCTAGTTTCATAAATTAGGCTTTGCAACCAGTTATGTCCCTGTAGTGAAAATTTTGTGAATGAGATACCCCTCCCAGAAATCATTTTGCTAGAGCTACCCCAACATATTTTCAAAACGTCAAATGTGCTTGACCAGCCCCAAAAGCCACTAACATAAAGCACATATTAATAAAGGAACAAAGTTATTTTATCTATCAGAGTTTTGTGTAACAAAATGTAATTAAATTATGTTCTGTTGCTGACAGGAATGTTTGCCAGCCACTCAGTGTAGTCTGAGGCAATGAGTGGGTTTGGCCCTCATAAAGCATAATATATGTCTTATGTGAAAATAGGTGGTATTGTCAAGACGTTTTTAACCTTTAAAATAATCATACATCTGCAGCCATTTGGTGCCGATGATAGCTAACAGGTGAGAGTATGTCCCATACTGGGTAGGTTTTGATTTTTATTTTTTCTTCCTGAGTTTTTGTGCAATGTTTTGGTGGGTTCTTTTAATTATAAAAAGTCTTTTTAATAGTAGTTTTCAACTATTTTTGCTTTAAAATGACACCAATGGGGAGGGGGAAGGATATTAGGGGATTCAGAATCTGTACGCATCCAAGCAGCCTCCTATTGCCCACCTCTTCGTTACAAGTTCCTTTTTTTAGGAAATCATCAGCTGAACTTCTGTAGATTTTCTTGCCAACCTCATTGCTCCCAACAGAGACACATCAAGCTGGCAATATTGCTGCCTCTGTCTTTTTTGTGCAATCTTGGCAGCCCAATCTTCAGACACCAGCAAGTGGGGGAGCAGGAGGAAAAGGCAGCCCAGAAAACCTCTCTAATTGCTGTGAAAGCAAAACATCAGCTCAGGAGATGGGGGAAGCCAATCTAATGAAATAAAATCTTGTTTATTACACATGACCCATTTTTTCATGTTCTTCACAAATTGAGTGAGACTGGCAGATTCCCACACACGGTGTCACTTCCCCAATGATAGCTCGCTTTTGAAAAGCTTCGCTTCCCACCACCTTTTTTGTTATGGGAGAGAAAGTTCATTATCTGGGAATGTGGCTATGTACAGCCTTTGAAACACTGGAAAGTTTTCAATCACAGGATCCACAGTTGCTCTGCAACAAGATTGGAATGACCAAAACCTATTTAGTTAAATCAAGATTCAGATGAGGAACTGTGCAAATGCAGATTCTAGATCAGGGTTTTTCAAATGTGGCAACTTCAGATATGTGGACGTCTCAAGATTTTTCCCACATAAAAATGCATTGAATATGTTCCTTGCATTGATCTTTGTATCTGATTGTATGACTTCAAGGTAAAATCTTGCCCACTTATTTAATTGACTAATTTTTGAAGTTTAATCAATGTATTTGACATCAGTAATTCAGTAATTCATTCTATTGCACAGCCTGCATCTGAAAAATCCTGACTGATTGAATTACTACATTTATTCATATTATGTTTCCTATTATGTAGTCAGTTTGATTCCAAAGTTATGCGTTCAGTGGTGCTCAAGTATAGAATTTCAGTTCATGTAGCTTGAAGATGCTGGCAATAAATTATGCCCTACTTATCGTCCTCATGATTGTTTCTGTGAACTCAAAATTCATAGAATGGCTCCTCCATTTCTGTAATATAGGCTTTCCCATTTCCTGTTAACTCATCTGTATTTTCCACCATTGGATTTGTAATAAGATCATATGTGTGTGTGTGTATCTTAACCTTAGAACATAACAAAATAACAGTTATTTGAAACTTTGGCAATTTCAAGTTTTCCATAATTCATATGTCTCACAACCCCTGTTCCAACTGTTTATATTCTTGTAAAACAAGCATCTTCTCTTCAAACACTGATATGATCATAACCAGAGTCTGGCCACAGTTGTCAGTTCTGCTTTTGCAGAGCCATCTTCAGTTCACCATTCCTCTCCTGGAAGTCCTATTTATTTCATTTTAAATGCATGGTGAAAACAATTTAAAAGGGAAGCATAATATCACACATTAAAGCATACAATTATAAACATAAAATTCAAAACAAAATTGCAGTATTAATACACCTGGGCTTCATTATTTTACAGATCTACTTTTTCCCCCTAGTAACTAGAGGAATGCCTTTCAATATAGAATGCTCATTATTTGGTATTGTACCTACACATGTTTAATTGTTGCAACCATGTCCGTGCATTTTCTTAATTCCTTATACCTGCAGAGCACATCTGCCCTCAACCTCTGCTGTAGATTACTCTTAAGGTCACCCCTCCCCTTTGGCTTTTGTTGGCAAGGATGACTTTACCTGGAACTTATATTCCAATTTACATCAGTCTCTTGCATCAAGTCACTGAAGCTACTAAATCTGCCTGTAGCATTAAGGTAGTAATCCCCTGGTAGGAAATAAATCTATAGTACAGAGATTGTGCATTAATGTGCATGGTATTTTATATCTGGTATGATAATACTGTATCTATCCAACTATTGAACTAAACATTCCTTCTTTCCTTAGCATTGATCATACTCATTGTGCCAGAAATTGCCAGAAATTGGCCTGCCCTATTTGACAGAGTGCTATAGGCTGCTGTAATCTAAAATTTAGAATTGGGAAACCAATATTAGGAAGATGAGGAAAAGAGA